TATATTTAAAAGGGATTATTACAATTTTAAAGAATGATTATCACTTCCTATTGTAATCTAACCATTAGGTAGGTTTACGTTGTATCTTACTGATTACAAAATTTATTGATGTGACATGGCTTCTCTGATGTGGAGATGATGTGTCAAGCAATTATATGAGAAAGAAATAATATCCTTACTTGATCATTCGACAATGACATGATAGTTTTTATGTGAATTTTAAAAGTTTTTAAAAAAGTGATAAAGTAATATGGAGAGAGAATGTTGGAAGACCACCTCACGCCTCTCGTTTGACCGTCTCTTCATCACGACTCTTCTTTCAGAAGTTAATAATAAGTATCTAAATAATATATCATATATACAAATTCAAACATAAATTTTTTTATATAAATATTAAGATAGGAAAAAATATCAAATATAAAAATCAAATTTAATAATAATTAATTCGAAAACAACTTTTTATAAAATGACTAAAGTGTATAATATTTTATGTAAATATTTAAATATTAAATATTTTAAATGAAAAATTAAAGTTATAACTAAATATACTTTTTAAAATAAATATCACCATTGATTATAAAGTTATTAATTAATTTTGACAAAAAAAACTATATTTTTATTAGAATCATATTATTATATTAAAAATATAAAATAAAAAGAATAAAAAGACCTAAATTCAATGACATCTATGCGACTAGTTTGTGGATATGGATGAATTGACGATTGAAGTTACGTGCTACCTGCTACTCATATGCTATGATTTTTTGTTAAGGTTAAAGCTATTTTCATGTAATAATGATTTTGATTATTGTACGGAGATGTGCGAATTGGTCAAATTAACTATTTAAAGTAATTTGACTAGCTACAGCAATAAAATAGTATTTAAATTTATTTTTTAAAACGAGTTAAATTCTAACAAGACATAAATTATTAATTTATTTTAACAATAATTTTTAATCAGTTAAAATTATAATCTATTTTTAAATAATTGTACAATTTAATTCTTAAAATAATATTTTATTTTGATTTGGCCTCTAAAACATTACTTGTCTACAATTTAATCTCTAGATATATAAAATTTATTATAAATTAGTCTTTTATTTTGTGATTATTAAAATTATTTAATAAAAAAGACTGATTTGGGACATTAAATACACTCATATAATATTCAACAATTTTTTAGTTTGTGTGACATTGGACTTGATAATTTTTTATATAAAAATATATAATTTTTTATATAAAAATATAAAATTTAATATAATTTAATGCATTAATACTATTAAATGTTAAAATTTTAAAAAAATATATATTTATTTTTTACCATATATAATGTTGTATAAATTAAAAAATTAAATATTATATACGACAACTTAAAACATAAGAAAACGATTAGAAAAAGGAGAAACAATTGGGATTTATTTGAAAATACAAGTATAATTTACCGGTTGATGATGGCCTTGTAGTTTGTTTGTATTATAAGTCAAATGAAATTTTGTATAGAATTGATTTTTTTCCTTCCTCTTAAAGAATGCTGTTCAGACAGAGTTTTTAACCTCAATTATTGTATAAATTCTGATAACTTACTTAAACAAACAGGCTCTTAATTGCTGTGTTATTCGTAATTTGCATACTGCAAACATACATTTTGTCCATAAAAAACAAAAATTATAATATGTGACACATGCATATACATTCATCCCTAAAACAAATTGCTTGATATAAAAATATATTGCAAAATAATTATGCAAATAACAATAAAGTACTTAAATAGTGTTATACAAAAGAACATTAAATAACTACTTGGAATTGTTGTCACCCCCTGCATCCTTAGGTCAATGATTGTCGCGACATGACAACGATGGATGTAGTCAGAGATGTTGCAAGCAATGTTTCTCTTATAATACTAAGATTCGCTTCATTTCGGATTTGATTGAAGAGGAATCAATTTGTTGTGGATCAGGATAGGTATATTCATGCATATCAGTGATATAATACCAGTGGTTATAATTATTCATGAAAATACTCTCTTAATCTTTAAAACACTATAAAAATTACCAATAAATTTACCTCAATTGTTCCGAGGCTTTGGAAAGATTCAGATCACAAGTTGCTTTTTGCAAGACTTGAACTAAGACCAGAGGGTGCATTTGGTTCTGTTTTTGGTTTTTTTATTTTGTAAGATATTTTATTAAGTGATTTTTAAACATTCTCTTTGAAAAAGGAAAAGAATAAACACTTTTCAAATAGTTATTTAATGGGAAAATCATAATCTTACTTGCTAAAAAAACTGAGGGCAAAACTTTTTCTTTAATTGGTATTAGACATATATTTGTGGTGAGTTTCCCTAGAGACTCAGGCAATATCATATGGTATCACTTACTTTCCATTAATCGGTTCTTCAGTATTTTTTAGAGATGTTTTTAAGAGGTTTTTAGAACTTTTAATCATTTTTTTACTATAGAGACATTAATATTGTTTCTCTTAATTAAATTTTTATTGTGTTTTTTAATTGTCTTGCTTATGCTATAGGTTAATGTTTACTACTAAAAACTCCAACGAAGTAATCCTAAAATGTGTGCTCATGGGATAAAAATTGGCTCCAGTTTTGCTCAATAGACTGTTTTCTCCTATGGCTGTCACTCTTTCTTCATCTTTTTATCATTCCTTATTTTCTTTTTATTTGGGTACTTTTTTGTTTTTGAACTTTTAACATACCTATATATTGATGAGTGCATGACCCCCACGTGTTATCATGTTAACCTTAAGAAACAAATTCGAAATTAAATTACATATTACATTTGTTTCGGACTTATTTCTCTTTTTCTAAACATGATTTAGAAAGATCATTATTAATTTTATTTTTAAAAATAGAAGTAAAAAAAGCTCAAAAATTATTATTTGGTTTAAAGTTTTTCCCCCTTAAACTCAACCAATCCTTACATATTACACTTCTAATCAGACATGTGAAAATGCCTTTTACTATCTTAGTTTTTTTTTTTTTTTTACACAAGTTGATAAATTTAATTCATTATTTCAAGGTCAATAAATAATATATTAATTGTGTCACAAAATTTGTTAAAATTTTATTACCATAACTAATGATAATTATTTATTGTAATTAGAAATTTCAACAAAAATAATATTATAAAAGGTACTAAATTCAGTAATTAGCACTTGTTTCTGTCAATGCATTGTTCTTTAAGAGTGTAACATATGTTTAAAAAATATGGTATTATTTTATTGTTATATAATAGATACTGTAATAAATATAAGGAGATATTGTGTTTGAACCTTGTTATATACAAATTCTCTTGAGGCAATAATAGACACAAATCGTGAGCGGGATTAGTTTTACTGAAGATACCTTATTGTCTATTACCTACTCTAATGAATCCATTAGTTGAGTTCTATCAAATTGACTATTCAACATTTAGGTTTAATGGCGATATTAAGTGTTCTATTTGTTTTTATATCAAAATACTATTTTTTTTCTCTATATGGTTGCACCTCCAGTGACAAAATATAATTGAATTGATGTAAAAAATAATTGGCTTATATATATTGTTGTGAAGTTTGTGTTTTATGAAAAAAGACCAACAATTTTTTTAAGAAAAAAAACTCTTAAATATTTTTGTAAAAAAGATCGTAGTAAGTATTGTTTTTTTTAACAAGCATAATAAAAATTAAAGCCTGGAAAATGGTTATTTAACCTATTGAGCAGCGGTAGGTCAAGTAAAAAAAAAATATAGATTTAAATAGGGCTTGCAAAATATCCAAATTTGATTAAAAAATAAAATAAAATATACTCTTATTGTAAAAATTTTAGTTGGTTTTAATCCAATAATATTTTTCAAAGTAGTTTTTATCGTTAATTGAAAGTCATTATATCTAAATTAAGCAAACAATATTTCATGTAATATTAGCTATATGAAATGTTAACTTTACACATAATATTTAAATAAGTAATTAATCTTTAAAAAAAAATTTAAAAAATTTAGTTCCTATTATTATTTTTAGTTTTAGTTTTAGTTTTAGTTTTAGTCATGTAAAATTTTAAATAAAATAGTTTACATCAAAAAAATATATTTCATTATTAAAATTTATCTACATGTAACATTTGAGGATTTTCTAATTCTCCTATTTTTATTGCTATGAGAAATATATTTGTATTTTTTAAAATGAATTTAAACAAAATAAGAATAAATGTTTCTATTTCACACGTAATGAAATTTTTTTACGTTATCTTAGTTGATTTAAAATTGAATTATATGTTCAAGGGGATACAAATAAGCTTTCTTAGTTTACATAATACAACCTTTTTTTAATTTATTTTAAAAATAATATTTTTACATTAAATAACATTACTTCAATAAATATTTTTAAAATAAATATAAAGTATAAGATATTATTTAAATTAAAAATGTTAATTTAAGAGATAACAATAAAATTTATTTAAAAATAAAATTTTATAAAATTAAAATCAAAACAAAAATTTAATAAAGACTAATTTTAAGAATGTATATTTTTTAAAATCCTACCCTACTTGAAGCTAGAATACTACGTGACAAGTATTATACGAAATAATGTTTATTTAGTTGTCATTTATAATGACTTTTAATTAATAACAACTACTATTTTTAAGAAAATAAAATTTTTTAATACTAAAATAAACAATTCTTCTTATAAAGAATAATTTAAAAAAATATTTTTAGATGCTATTTAATTAATTAAATTTTAAATTTATATCAAACTTAACTATATCAAGTTAAAAATGTATAAATTTAATTCAAATTCAATTTTTAAAAATTTAAACTCTAAATTTTATTGAGTAAATTGGAATAAACATTTTGTTTATCATAATAAAAATTAGCATTAAAAATTTTCATGTTATTAAAATCAATCTCTAATTTTATCAAAAAAAAAAAATATAAAATACACGTATAACATTGCATCTAAATTTTGTACATATCATTCAGAATAAAGTGCTCTTTATTAAAAAAATATGAAGAAAATAGCAAGATCAAGAGTTGCAATGTGCACATAATGGCACCCCTTGTCAAAGGAAGAGTCCACAAATATTGCAAGGTCCACTGGCCTTCCATTTCTTGGTCCACACATATATAAAGCAGTGGGAAAGAAAGTTACGGTGTTGGCGTCGCTTAAGCTTTCAAGTGCGACACTTCGAAGAAGAAAAAAGAGGCCAAGTCCTCTTCACTCGACTGCGATTGAGAAAGTTTTATGGTAATGGATGCACCAAACCCTTCTTCTTCCGGAGGAGCTTCTTCATTCCTCGCCAATCTTCCCTCTCGAGGCCACTTCTCGTCCACCGTCATCTCTTCCAATCCGGTACATTCACTGTGATTGTTTCGATTAGCGATTTTAAACCTAGCTACATTCACTGTGATTGTTTCGATCTATGCTTCTAGAACATTCTTCCATCTTTTATGGAAGCACTGACGATACTGTTCAATTTATTGTTCTAGGTTTTTATGTTAATCGTGTCGATGTCTTTTACGTTCACCGTATTTTTTTTTTATACTTTTAGTTTATGGAATTTTAAGGTCACTTAGCTTTTCTAGTCAAACGAAATGCTAGGATCACTATGGACAGGACAGTGGTCCGTGACTGGTTGTGCAGTAAAGATTGAGAGGACGGTGTAGGTTTTTGTAAGGAATTTTTTTTCACATGTGAAGTATCAAAATTATTACCTTACTTCAAAGTGAATTCGAGTTTCATTCAGATATTATCTATAACAGACATTATTTCAATCTTCATTTACCGTTATCTTAAGCTTGGATTCCTTGTTGAATAAGCCGGTAATGTGTGATTATGGTAGAATAGAAGCCTTGTATGCCGGATGAGCCTTCTTCCTTTGGATGTAAATAGCTAGTGATTTTTTACTTTTACCCTGCTTACTATTTTGCACATGCTTTATGTTAAGCTCTACATTTAGTAGTGTTTTTTTTTTTTTAAAACTTGTAGTAGGGTTTTATTACCTCGGATTCATGGGATGAAGTATTATCTTGTAGCATTTTTATGAGTTTATTTGAGAGACATTAGGTTTGAATTTGATCTTCTGATTGTGCAGGGCGGGATGCGGGTTTATGTGTGTGACCATGATTCCTCACCACCAGGTCTTCTCATTCATTATCTTAGGTTATTTCAACATGCTGTTGCAATTTGTAAATCATATTGTAACAGCTTTTTATTCTTCCAGAATTCTCTCTTTCCTAGAGATACCTGTTACGCTATATAATTATTAGAATGATGTACTATTTAGCCACAAGTTTCCCTCTCATTACCAGAGTTAGAAGAATGGTTATTTTTCATCCATATTGAATATTGTACTGGACCAGATTCAAATGGTGTTCGTTTACACATAATTTACTTATAGTGGCATGATCATTGACTGCAACTTTATCATGAAAATAATCTATATTTGAATTTGTAAGTTCACTGTGTATTTGTCATGTTAGAGTTTAGTATATTTATTGCTGCTTAATTATTCTTTGATTAGTAGTCTTAATTTAGAGAATTCTTACACTGTAAAAATTTATGCTTAAAAAAATGTTCTGTCTACTTTTTCAAGTTTGCTTATGCCTTTATCATCTTAATACATGTTTGGTTTAACTTATTTTAAAGGAAATAATTGCTTATTTTTAGCAGCTTTGTGAGATAGATTTTGAAAAATAAGCAATTATTTCCCTGAAAAATAGCTAATCCAAACATTTAGTTTTCCTAAAAGATTCATAATTCATTTTGTAAATGGATCAAGTAATTGAAATTTTGTTCCTACATTGTAATTTGTGCAAATTACGGAATTATTTGATGATGGATAAAAGTTCATGCCATCCTTCTGGTCATAATGCCACGATATAAACTCATCCTATTGATTTTAGCTATCTCTTTATTGGTTTCTTGAAAAGAAAATTATTGTAAAATGGAGATTTTGACTCCCCTTTTTATCCAGAAGGTCAACATATTAAGACAAACCAACAGAACATACTGATTAGATCACTCACACTCAAGAAACAAAGGGGTGATTCCAGCTCAAAGGATGGATCTGATGGTTCAAAAAAGAGGTATTATTCACACCTTTTGTGAAGAGTGATATTTCAAGTGTATGACTATGATATGATCTATGTGCAATATTTTCCATAATTTTCTGGCATTTTTCTCTCTGAGGAAAACTTAGAACTGTTTGGTAACTTGTGAATAAGCTATGGCGCCTGTCTCCCATTCTTTAATTCTTTAATGTCTATATTTTTTAAATTTTATCTCACTCATATGTTATTGAACACTGTCTCATCAAACTCTTTATCAGGACTGCTGAGAAGGTTTTGGATAGCAGAGCTTCAGCCAAGAAAACAAATAGTCAAATAAACTCTCGACAAGGTGGGTTTGTATGAACTTCATAACGTGTTAGCATTGGATGAAGACTAAAACATATTTAAAGAATTTTGTTGTAAATTCCTACTCCCCTACATGCACACACGTTTTCCTGATGATAAGAATGTTTATGCTATGATTTAAGCACATGAAGGGAGCGCAATCCAAAAGATTAGTCCAATAGATGGGAGAACTTCAAGGCTTGAGTACTACATTGAGCATCTTATTCTATGCAATGTGGGACTCATAAAATTGCAGCCCCCTTTAAGAGCTGACTTTCAAGGCTAATCCAAAAGACTAGTCCATTAGATGGGAGAACTTTAAGGCTTCAATACCATGTTGAGCGACTTATTCCACTCAATGTGAGACTCATGATATTGGATCCCCTTTAAGAGTTGACATCCATGGCGGCTTTCACTCTATGGACACTGACCCAATGGTAGCCATTTCCCCTTTGGTGGCTCCACTTACCTATCAGTATTTGGCACATTGTGCCTTAATCCAACCTATGGGTAGCCCTTTCCGTAGTCCAACAACTCTTAATTAAAGCACCAATTGTTATGACTTAAGCACATGAAGGGAGCTCAACCCAAAAGACTCGTCCAATATGTGGGAGAACTTCAAGGTTTAAGTACCACATTGAGCATCTTATTCTACTCAATGTGTGACTCATAACAGTTTGTTTTTTCTCTTGAGATTACTAGTTCATCTTCCTAACAGGACTCATTTCTCTTGGCCACTTTTGAATATGTCATTCAATCTGATATGTGTTCAGGCGTCCACATTAAGCTCACATTTTAAATACATCAAAATACATTTTTCAGTCAATTTTTTTATGGATAGCAAAAGCATGTTTCATAATGTGTATTAACTTAGAGTAAGGTATGTATTATTTAGCAGTTTATAAAGTGAAAGAAAAAACATAGGAATGTGATGATGTTCAGAAATAATTGTAAACTGTCATTTGATAGCTTGCTTTTAAATGACATGTCAACAAGGTGCACGTTGGATCCAAAATTCTAGGAATGTTTTAAATAATACAACCCAAATCATCTTTGGTTTGGTGTATTAAGATATGTTCTTGAAAGGAATTGTATTTATGAGTAGTTTAGGAAGAAATTGAAAAATAACCATGGTATGGTCATTGGTGTTGTGCTGTGCTTATAAATTAAAATTGTAAATTTTCTTCAGAAAGACCTCAAATTGCTTAACCTTCTGAAAAATATAATAAAAGTCAGATTTCTACTCATTGATTTGATACATGAGCTTAACCTTTCATATATATACACACATCTTTGTGTTTCCATGTGCAACATGTTATTCTTTTCCTGACGTACATGTTTTTCATCCTAGAGATGTCCCTGCTTTTGATATAGACATTCTTATCAAGTTGTGCTTACATGTTTCATTTCTTTATATAACTAAAAGTTATAGAGCCAAGAATTTAAATTTTTTCGAAAAAAGAACAGAGACTAAAGAATGATGTAAACAAGGTAAGTATAGCAGCCTCTTGAGCTTAACTCCGGTAAGTTGTGATAGACAAGGATTTGAGTTGTGGCTGTACGTTCAAGCCATCATAGTAATGGTTCCTAATTTTGGTAATAGCCTAATTAAGGTGGCCGGACATGTTTTATTCCACTATGGATCTATTTTGTCATATAACGGCTTTTAATCATGCAGAGGGATCAAACAGTCAAACACCCAGTAGGGACTTCCACACCCTGACTGTAGAGAGGCTTCGAGCTCTTTTGAAAGCCAGAGGTCTTTCAACCAAAGGAAAGAAGGCAAGTATTCCTACAATTTTAACATACATGCGTACAGAAGTTGCATTGAGATAGCATATACATATAGGCATATGGAAGACCACCTCTTGTTTGCTCGATATTATTTTGCTTACTGGTGGCTCATATCAAAATGTTGTAATGGTTATCACGTGGTATATTATGATCCATGATTAATTGTTGCCAAAGTGTTTAATCTTACGTCATTTTTATTCATATTTTTTGTACGTGAAATAAAATCTGTAGGAGGAGCTTATTGCACGTCTAAAAGATGCAAATGGTTAAGCGTAGCATGGTGGAAGGAATACGCTCCTCATTAAGCATCCAGTGTACGAGTAGTTAGTGTATAATGTAACTTAGGATCTGGAACCTAATATTGATATAAACCTAGTGAAATTGAAGTTGCAGTTGATTATTATCGTTTTGGTTCTACTGTATGATGAGTTTTGGCATTATGTTTCGTTTTTTGTGTGTATCATAGAGGTCAATTGCACGATTAGTTCATCAATGGTGGCTTCCAAGTTGCATTCCCTTTCTTCAATCGTTTATAATCATTAAAATTATATGTTCTTCAAAATTTGTGTGCCAGCTTTTATGTCACTTTTCCTTTTCTATTCCATCTCTCGTTAAGTTAGACGTGATGAGGTTATATGTTAACCTTTATTACTGTGTTTTCCTGCATTATGAATAACAGTGTCGAGATTTGTTTGCATTTATAGGGTTTTCATTCAGACCGAATTCAAAAAATTTCAAATAGCAAGGTCATATGAACCTTGTTCGTCTCATCTTGACAAGTATTAAACAAGTTTTTTCAAAATTTATGAATGTCAATAGAGAGAGATGGATACAATTTTCAAATAACAAAATTGTGATCGATTCAATTAATAGTAGTGTATTTTAGAGTGTTAAAATATTGCATTGTTAGCACTCTTCTGAAAGGGGAAAATCTATCATGTTTCAAAGTGGATTAAGTGGTCATTATTTTCAAGTGCGAAAATTGTAATCTGCAATGTTAAGATCAATATTTATGTCTCTTGTGAGGCCGTGCATTATATGAACTGCTGTTTCATATTACACAGAAGGAAAATATGACATCAACCAGTTTGGAATGGCAAAGGTACAGGAAATTGACAAAAATAGCAGAAGAGACAAGAATGGACTAACTTCCTTGTCTGCATGTTAATGTTCTTATAATCAATTTTTCAGAACTAGTTGTAACAAAAAATTCAGAATTAATTGAAAGAAGTACTAATCATTTTCATATGTTTGACGTCGTGCACTAATATATAATATAATTAAAATGGGCTTCTCAATGTAAAAGATTCTTTAATCCCCATGGGGTTTGAAAAGGATAGATGTGCGTATCCACTTATAGAGGGGAAGGCTTCGAATCCTTTGCGTCCATCTCTGACCGCCACTGGTATAAATATTTTTTTTGTTCGAGAGTCGCAGGTATAATTAACGGGGCAAGCATCACCTATTAGACAAGAGTTGAAACATATTGACATGCACGGGTCCATTATCATGACTTGATGTAGATTTTTTTATACGGATAACGTTTAAGGATTTGTAGTAAAAAAAAGTAAGAAAGATTTTATGAAAAATAGTATTAATTTATATTACGTTTATAGTATATATGTAATTTGACACGTGTCAATCTTTTTTTCTTTGCCCTCTAATGTGAGGGAGAATAAATTTTATGTTTGGAGGAATAGCTTTTCACATTCGAGCTACTCCTACCCTTCCTTATCTACATCTTAACGGAGTAAACAATTAAAATAGTCCTGAGATTATATAGTTCAGGTATTTGAATTTCTGAAATTTTAAAATATTGCCAGTTTCCAACTTAACGAAAAGTCATTCGTTCAAGTCTTTTTAACTTTAGCTTTTACTAGTAGCATTTTACACCAAAAAATCTATCATGAATGACATTTTGTAGTTAAAAGCTAATGGAGAGTAATTAAAATTTCAAGAAGTAAAATATACAACTTGTATAATCTTGAAAACTAACTCAAGAATTTAGTCTCAACAAAGCATCCGCATAACTATGGATGTATTTTAAAAATACAATGACAATTAGCAGCATTATTACCAAATGCCTAGTATGACCACGAATTTCGATTCTGTTATAATGAAAACTGGACCGTTGAGTTGAAATTCGTTTAATTAAATTTTATTCAAGTAAATTTAACAAAATAACAGAAAACTTACAAATTCACATAAATTAATAAAATTTGCTTAAACAATTTACCAATATACATCAAGTTACTCACTTTCTTTTTCTCCTCTTCGAATCCCTTTCTAATGTTATCCTTTTTGAGCACCATTTCATCAACATCATTTCTGTAATGATTCACTTGACAAAGCAACTCTTTATTTTCCTATTCACTTTCCTTTGTTTTCATCTTTTAAGGTTTAGGGTTTAGATGCTAATAGATTTGATTGAATGAATTTTTTTGACATAAACTAATTTTGCGAATTTTTTATTTTATTTTGTAAAATTCACTTAAGTAAATACAGAATTTTGATTGGACAGTCCAATTCTTACTTGGAGAGAATCCGAATCCGTAAGAACACACCAAATTCCATATTAAAAGTATCAATTAGTTTCTATTCAAATTAAGGAAGAGGAGAACTAGCATAGAGCATTCAATGTTTACACTTCACTGTTCTTGGAAATACCCTAAGAGAACAAACGCATTTGATTTATATACTCTTATCGGCGAGTGACAAACTGATCATTCAAACACATTTACAGAAGCATCATTCCATCCAAACAGACATTTCAATAAACATGCGCAGTGTGAAACATTCAAATTATTGCTAACCCATCAAAATTAGAGCCATGAATTTGTTTTAAATCATTACTATCAGAGACAACTAAGTGTCTGATGGCCGAGAGGAGAACAAATTGATAATTATACATCTAAGTCAATACAGTAAAACGTAGCTTCTTGAAGTGCAGTGGCCACACGAGATACTTTCCATACCTCAAAAAGCGACAAGGTAGATCTCTAATCCATAACATTAATATATCATTATGAAGATCATAACTGATGCTACAAAAGCTTTAGCTCATCGCTCTTGGCTCATATTACCATACTGGAATAGGTGATAAGAATAGTAGATGAGAATCAATAGATACAGATATGGTTGAAGGACTCCAAAAATGAGCTAGGAGCCATCAGAATTCTTGGTCAATATACTCGGCTGATACTCTACCCCCCAAAAAATAAAAAAAAGGGTGGGAAAGAAGATTTAGGAATGTTGGAACAACACCTTCCAGTGATATCAGAAAGTAACCCCCTCCCCGCCTAAAAAATCCACAATTTTCTCTCAGATGCTTCCAGGAGCATCACTTCGAGCATTTTTCCTGTTCAGGTAGCGAATGACAGCATCCTCAACCCTGGAAATATCAATAAAAGAACACAAACCAATTAGAAACAGCTTTTGAAATCTTCCCTATAATATGTTTAAAGGCCAATATTACATCAAACGAACAAACATCCAAAACATCGAATAGTCATATCTTCCAGTTTTACTCTTCATTGTCGCTCAGTTATTATGAACACCCAAAGGAGCAAGGTTCCTCACAGGTCTATTAAGATAAGCTTTGCAAAAATGCACTTTCATGATATTTCCCCCCTAGAATTTACTCTTTCTAACTTAGAGAAAAAAACTTGTTTAATTATTTAAACATTTTTTATTGAAAACATTTTTCCCTCAAAAAAATACACAAACAAATGAGTCCTAAATCTTCATCCCCTAACGGCATTGCCTTTATCCCCAAATCAGACTTAAGACACTTCGCAGTCTCTGTAATGTATGCATCATCAGAGCACAAACAGAACTCTTTAAAAGTCAGAATATGGTACTTTAAAATGGAAAGTTGCTCATTGGGGAGGATCCTTGTCCATTTCCTATCAGTAATAGTCTATTACTAATAGTTACCATCTAAGAAGCATGGAATAGACACTTAAAATAGCGAGAGTGCGAAGTGTAAAGTGCTGCACCATATCTAAACTTAGTGTCTGACACAGACACAGCTTCTATTTTGAACTGCCGGCATCAAAGGTTGTCATTCTCTTCAACTCTCAATTTTAGCAAACAAATGCCAACATTAAGGTCATAGGCAAAACACACACACAAAGGAAAAGTAGCATCATGCATACCATGGTTGATTGTAGAATTCAGATCGTCGTTCATTTTCATCATTATGGCTAGCATCTCCAGCAACAAGCTTTAGATCCTTGCTCTGAGAAGTGATCAAAGCATTAATAAACTCTGCTGGAGACTGACTAAAGCCAAGAAAGAATGCCCGCCTCCTACGGTGTTCGTTGATCTTCTTTATGGAGTCCCGAATCACTTCATCAAAAGCATCAATCTCTTTGTGCCTGTCAGTGCTTTTCAAGAATGCAGACATGTCCTTCTCTAGTGGAAGAGGCACATCAACCTGCACATCATAACACGTAGTTCCAGCTGGACAATTTCCAGAAAGCTTGATTTTATGCTCCAGGTGTATAGGCTGTGGCGGCGACAAATGCTGTGATATCTTCTGTGAAGCCACAGAGAATTTCATTTTCTCTTCCCCAAACACCCTTTGAAGAGAGGCATCACACATGAAGAATGAAGGGTCATTTGGGCTCTGTAGCTTCTTGGACTTCACATAATGCCAAAGAGCAGCTATGATCCTAGCCCGAGTATCAAACTCAATTCCTAAAACTTTGGACAGTTGTGTTGAAACCATAAACTTCTCAGGTGAATAATTCATCGTTATTCTAACTACTGCAGTGAATTCTTTGTCTCCTTTCCTCTTCACCTCAAAACCATCTCGTTGGAGAGGCAAACGAGCACTATCCCATACAATAACATGATTGTCTGGATAGAACCCCTGATCCAAGTATATGGTAATCTTGTTGAAGAAAGCTGAAAACTTCGGATACTTATGATTTTCCCCCTGCGAAATTCCTGCTGCCACCGGATCCTTACCATCTTCCAATATCCTTCCAGTGATCCTGAGTGACCAAGAAGGCTCCTCTACACCATCCATTTTAACCTGATTCGAAAAGGAATTATAAACATAAATCCGAAGCGTTTTCCGAACGCAGTGAGGGTTTCTAACAGCCTCCTGCACATCATTCTTCTTCCTAACCAAAGCAGCATCTATCTGAGCCTCAAGTTCAATCAACTTAGCATAAAGAGCAGACTCAGGCACAAGTTTAGCCACTTTTTCCGGTATCAACTTCTCAGGAAACTTTCTCTTCTTCCGCGGAGGAGCCACGGTAAGTTCCATGGTCTTAAAGGCAGAGGATTGTGCAGCATTGGATGAACCACCGGGCCTCGAAGGCGGTTTCTGAGTTGCACGCTTGGCAGTTCCAGTTGCAGTTGCAGCAGCAGTAGTAGTAGTTGTAGTTGCAACACCAGAAGTAGCCACATTAGTGTTAACATTGTTGTGTGATTGGTTAACTTGAGGGTGCGCATACTGTGGTTGTTGTGCAACCACATGGGTTTGGGGCTGTGAAAGCTGAAAGTGACCGTGGAAGTGAGAAGCCCCACCTTGTGTTTGAGGCTGTGACTGTGACAGAAGGTGTGGTGTTGGGTGGTTCATGGGAATGGAGGGTGCACCGGGATTGCTAAAAAACGACGGCGTTGCAGCATTCTTCGCTGGGTGATTGTTGTTGTTGTTGTTGTTGTTGTTGTTGTTGTTCATCGTTCTGAAATCTAAACCTCGATCTCAGTCACGGCTGAAATCGGTTCTTGGATAAGTTGAGTAGTTGTTAATAACAATTCGTGGATCTAAAATCGGGATAATGAAAACCCTAATTAATTATTAGAACAGCGAAAGTGAATTGGAACTTTGTTTTTGCAGAATAGAAGAGGGGGAAGGAAGAAAGCAGTCTTACTGTTTTTTGGAGAATGAAAGGCCCAATAGGTTGGTTTCATCACTCTTTGGCGCTTTTGCTGTGCCCTTTATCTTATCACTTCTTCCTTCTCCAACTCCTTTCTTCGTCTTTTTCTTGTCATAGACACTGCGTTTCAAATTTCTTTCTCACTTGCAGCCCTCACACACCAGGTTTAAGCTAATGTTAATTTTTAATTTGTTCGCACCTTTTAAGGTTTTTTTCTGTACAGTTAAAAGAATTAGAAGACTAAGAAATATGAAAGGAAAAAAAATGTAAAAATAGAGTAAAATTATTAATGCTTAGATAAATTAAAAAATGAAATAAACAAAATTACTTATTCAGATCGAAGTAATGTATTGTATACTTGTTCATTATTATACTAAAATTAAGAAAAAATATTTTATATACAAATATTTAAATATATTATAACAGCAGTTAAGTTTAATTTGATTCGATTTTAATAATAGGATTTGAAATTTAAACAGAACTGTAGCATGTAATATAATCTTTTTAATTTTTAGTTTGATCAGTTTTTAATATAAAAATTTTATTTTTTTAATAGAATTGATTCAGTGTTTTAAAGAAAATATGAAGAGGAGGGAATGCGACTAAAATCTTTACTCAACTTTAACTCCCATTCAAGAGTGAAAAGATTTTGAAGAGAGATATTATTTTAGATTAATTAAAAAAATATTATTAGTGAAATGGTAATAAGTTATCTGCTATTAATTTAAAGTTAAATATCGTTATAAAATACCTTAATTTAAATCAGTTTCACTTTTTTACTTTACATGTTTTCTATTTTAAATAAGCTAATTCCTAATTAATAGTTATAATTAACCATTAAAATATATCATAATAAATTTTTTGTTTTGTTTTTCATCCCCTCTCGTTGTAACTTGTAAACCAAACAATATATTTTTCACACCCATTAAAATTCTCTCACTTACCTTCTATGAACTCCCGTTCATCCAAATCACAATATTAAAAGAGATTCCCTCTTCAACACTTATCTCTCATGACCAGTATTTCAACTTAGCGTCTATCACTTGGAATGAACATGACCATGATGATGTCGTGAGTACTCTCAAAGCTGTTAGAGATGTTTCACAGGTGTTTGATAGGAGGCTTTTGGAAACATTTTCTAAAACAAATGTATTCTTGAGGGTAGAATTCATGACATTTAGATAAGCTTGGAGAATATTTTTTACATTCACCTTGCAACCCTCAAGTAAAACTTCAAGCTGAATACCATAAAATCTTGAATAAAAAAAAATTAATTTCAAAAATCTAGAGAAACATGGATTAAATACTATGACAAGAACACAATTTTCTTCCATACACAAACCACAAATCAATGCCTTATTAATAGGATTTGGTGTATAAAGAACTCTATTTTGAAGTAAGAAGTGATTCAATATTTTAAAAATTTATTTTCTTCTAGAGAGAATATTGAACTACATAATTCATTACAGGATCTCCCGAAGCTTAAAAGTGATGCAACCCTAAATCTTTCAAAACCTATAAGGAGGAAATCTTCTTAACATTGAATTTCATGCAACTCTTTAAGGCACTTGACCCAGATGATTTTCAAACTATTTTCTACAAAACCACCTGAGAAACTATTGGAGATGATGTGTGGAGGTTAGTGACCCATACCTTTCAAAAGAGCAAGTTTTATACCTTTTTAGCAGAAATTCTAATTATCTTTATTCTTAAGGTTGATCAACCTTATTATTTTAAAAACTTGAGACCAATAAGCCATTATAATGTTATCTTTAAAATTAGTATAAAGGTAATAATTAACAAGTTAAGGTTGCATCTAGCCGATGTTATAGGTCTGTTTCAGAGTAGTTTTATCCCTTATGGAAGTACATCAAATAATGTCATTGTCCTGTGCATTCCATGTCTAGAACAAAGAGAAAGATTGAAGACGTAGGGTTCAAGCTTGATCTTGAAAAGATGTATACAAAGTAGATTGAAGATTCTTGAGAAATATGATATTGGAGTTTGAGTTCTCTACCTATACCATAAAATTGATTATGCATTGCGTATCTTCTGCTTCTAATGAGCTTGCTTTGAAATGGGGAAAGCTGCTTCCTTTCTAGCTTTTAAGGGGCTTGCACCAAGGGGACCCGATGTCTCCATACCTATTTGTTTTGTGTATGGAGAGACTAGTTCATTTCATCAAAAGATAAATAAAAAATGGTAATTGGTAGTTCATATATGTTGCCAAAGAGAGTCCCCTTATCTCAGATGCTTTTTGTTGATTTGTTATTGTTTGTCAAAGTCAAGTCTTCTCAAATCATGGTAATTTTTAAGGAAATTGAGAGATTTTGCCATGTGTTTGGATTGAGGATTAATTTGCAAAAATATTGTTTATTGCTCTAGGTCTGTTTCCAACACAAAAAAGACAAACTTGACTAACTTTACAACAAAGATTGGTAATTACTTGGATTTTCCTATCATTCAAGGGAGAGCTCGAAGAGAGGATATTTTCTTTATCATGGAGAAAATTAATATACAGCTGGGCTAGTTGGAAGTTGAATTTGTTGAATAAAGTAGGGTGTCTTACTCTAGCCAAATCTGTTATTTCTTTGATACCTATCTATACAATGTGAAACATTTGGTTACCTTCCAATATGTGCTCCATGATTGACATTGATGTTAGACGATTCATTTAGGCCCGAGAAACTTGTGTGGCAACTGTTACATAACAAGGACAAGCGCTAGGTGAGATTGATGATTAGTAAATATCACTTAAAAGATGATTTTCCCTTTAAAAGAAAAAAACAACGGTTCAGATGTATGGCAATTAATTCAACTAACTCTTCTATTTCCTCGTCATGGCTTCACCTTTCAGCTAAGTAATGATTCCTCTTTTTTTTTGGTTTAAAAAATGGTTCCTTGTTAGGCTTATTTGTGTGTCAGATTGATTGTGGAGTTAATTGTAGTTTATGGTTGAAGTACGTACGAGATGGGGTGAAAGACATTATTTATCCACTTTTCCATTGCTTACATGGTAATAGCGAGGACACTTGGATTTGGGGCTAAAATTTAGATGTCAGGACTCTATGAGAAGTAGCTCTAATTGACTTATCAAACAATCAGTTACTCCCCAACAAGGAAAGTGGAGTTGGATATGGAAATTACATATTTAATGTATAAAATTTTTCATTTGGCTAATTCTCCATAACTTTATCCTCACTTGATTGCTTCAATCGAGATAAAGCATCATTCTCATGAATATAGATGACAATTCATTATATAGTCCATGATCCTTTAGTTTTGACAGTTTATTTTACAACTTAGATGGTCGGCGGATTCAAGGCTTTTAAGACAACTTAGGCATTATTAATAACATCATCGTTAAGTTATTTGCTGTGTGTTATAGACTAAACATAGCTTGAAATACTAGACACTGCAAGGTTATTTGTTATTCCAATTGTTTAGAGGTGAAGAAATTGATTAATTCTCCTTCGAAACACCACACCTATCATGTGCTTGTATACACAATTAGAGATTTATTGGCTCAAAATTGGACCATGTAACTCCATCATATGTTTAGGCAAGAAAATTTTTATGTTGATCACTTGACTCGAAAAGATACTTCCCAAGCTCAACGCCTTATGATTATTTCAAATGTTTCCTGTAACCTGTCAAATAGCCTTGTTGCATAAAGGTATGGAGTTATTTTTTTTTATCATTCTTAGTCAATTTTTCCCTTTTTCTTTTAAACAAAAAAATAAAGAACTATTTAAAAAAAAATTAAAATACAAAATATATGCATTTAAAGTTTTAAATTTAAACAATAACAACCAATAAAAATTAATTTTCAAATGATATGTAATTATCTTATTAAATTTGTTTATTTAAATTATAAAATAAAAAAAATATAACTTGGATATACTAATTTTAAAATCACGCGTCACACAGAAAAAGACATATGACTAAGTTAAAAAAATATTTAATTTTTTCATTCTCAAGTTAAATATATAATATATCATGTGCTTGATTTTATTGATTTTAAATTTTTAAAAATTTGTTGAATTTTTTTAAAATATATATTTTTAAAACTTAAATTCTATTAATCATGCCAATAAAAATTATAATCCAATCATTATTTTCTTGTTAACGTGTATAAGAATCTGAACCTGTCCTCTTATCACATAAAATTGTGAGACATAAAAGCATAATATTATGTTTAGACTAATAAAGGAAGATAAAATGAAATTGAATAAATTTAAATGGAATGTAGTAAAGTAAAATATAATTAAGAAAATATTTTATTTTATTATTTATAATGTTACAATGAAATGAAAAAATATGTTACTATTTGGATAATAAATAGAGTAAAGTGACTTACAGGTTTTTTTTTTATATTTATTTATTCTTTACTAATTACATGGACTAATATTTCCCTTATTACGTGCGATCAACATTAGGTGCAAAAAAAATTGATATATGAACTTAAGCTAGTCAGCCTGTTTAATCTATAATTGAGTTAAGATAAATACAAATATAATTCTATAAATATATATATATATATATATATATATATATATATATATATATATATATATAAGTGGTCAAAACTCTAAGTTTTTATAAGACATAATAAAATAGAAAAGTAACATTACGATAGTGAATAGAATACACATTTTTTTCGCTTTAAGAAGATAAATTAGACTATAACATTCAACGGAGATTAATCTAATTAACAAGTAATTTATTTTTATTTAAATAAAATTTTAAGTTTGAATCCTTATGTATATAAAAAATATTTAATAATAGACTTATCACATCTAAGTGTGTAACTCAAATCAAATTTAAATTAAATTAGATAAAAAAAATAAAACTATAACAAACACTTTAATGCCAATATTTAAAGTTTTAAAACTTGGTCAATGAAGCAATTCAATCCGTTTAGTTAAAAAATATTATTAAATAGGCAAACAGATTTTAGTTTTTAATAAATAAATAAATAAATATATATTTATTTTTTTCTTTTTTTAAAGATTTTTTGGTAAATTTTTTTGAGTTTTATTTAAAAAAACAAAAAACAAAAAATTGAAAATTAAACCGTGCCACGCGACTTCATGGCCAAGGGCGATTTGCCTTAATGGTAAAACCATAAAACCAAAGTGCAAAAAAATCGACCCAATGAATACTCGACAGAGTCAGAGTCAGACGACTCAGAATTCACTTCAGAAAAGAAAACTCAACTACCAAACAATAAAAAGCATATTATAATGATTGATACATGCATTTAGTCTTTTGAAAAAAAGAAAAAGTGCAAAATAAGAAAATACAAATTTATTCATTACTATTAATTTGAAATGCAATATTTTAATATATAATTAATCTAGATTGATAATAATTAAAATTTTATTTTCTGATTTCATTCATCTTGTTAGAAAAGAAACAAATGTGCATATAAGTAGCTAGCTATTTCAACAACAACAAAAAAAGTAGCTCGCTAAACTCAGCAACCATGGAAGGGCAAAAGACTAACATACGCACATGGTGTCGAGGAGTAGGCATAATTGATAAAAAGGAGAATAATAAATAATAGTTAAATGAAAAATGGTATTATATACAGTATTATTTAACTACCCTGAAAAATAAATAAGAAAAACGAAAAATCATTGATATCCCCTCTCTTAGAAAGAAAGAAGGGAAAAGAGAGGAGAAGCAGAAGCATGGTTTCGACGAGGCGCAGTGGATCTCTCTCTGCTAGCAATACCAAAAGATCTTCCTCCTCCGAAGATAAACCTCCTTCGCCTAAGCGTCAAAAGGTTCTTCTTTTCCCTTTCTCTCTTTTTTGATTCACTTGAATCCGAACGATTCGGTTTTTCGATAATTTCTGCGTTGGAGCCGTTACTTCTCATCGCTTTCTGCGATTGAAGGCTTGCGATTTGTTGCGAATTTTTCAGGTCGACAATGGCGCTTCTTCGGAGAAATCGGTGCCGCCGGCGGAGAATTCCAAGGAGTTATGTACTCCGGAGCCCGCGCCTGATCCCGGAGAATGTGGCTCTGGCGATGCTCAGGTCGCCGGAGCGGCTGCCGCAGATGGATTGAGCCCTGCCAAGGGTGATGCTACGCCGGCTGTGCCTGTGACGGCGCCGATTGCTGATACCACTTGTTAGTGCTGGGAATTTTCTTCAACTTCGTTCGGTTTTTATTTTTATTTTTTAGTTTCGGAATCGCTACTTGTAATATGAATTTAATTTGATTTGATTAACACACACACATACATGTATATATATGTGTGTATATATATATATATATATATATATATATATATATTTTACATGTATGTATGTACGTATTTTGTGATAATTTTTCTATCGTTTTACTCCGAAGGTCCATCGTTCTCTGCGTGGAGTATATATCAGAAACAAAATCCGAATATCGAAGCAGGTCCATGGTGTAGGTTTTTGTCGCAGTCTGCTCAGGTAAATTCATGTTCGTTCAAGTGGAGTGAATCAGAATAGTGACGATTGTAGCGGTTACTGTTCACACTTTGAGTGTTGACTCCTTGTGTACCTCGTGGTGTTGTTTTTGTTTAGTTCAAAACTTTTTAACAATGAAATATGTGTTGTTGCTGCAGAATCCAAATGTTGCTGTTTGCACACCCAATTTCACTATTGGTTCTAATAGGAGTTGCAACTTTCTACTGAAGGATCAAACTATAAGTGGGAATTTGTGCAAAATCAAACATACGCAGGTACATCTGGATGGAGCTTTGGATCATTGATTATACTGTGTGTATGGTTAGGATCTTTTTCAAGCACAAAAATATGCTAACGCTAACATTTTACCTGACTTATTTCACACAAGTTTTTGTATACAGTCCCTATGTATACTTTTCTGGAATCGTGTGCTTGGATGTTTTTTTTGGTCTTTTCTTTTTTCAGTTATTTGAGGTGAATACCTTAGGATATGTATGTGCAGTTTGATTACTGTTGTTTCTGGAAATGATCAGCGCGAGGGAAGTGCTGTAGCTGTGCTAGAAAGTACGGGTAGCAAAGGATCTGTGCTTGTAAATGGGACGCTTGTCAAGAAGAATACCAGCTGTGTGCTTAACTCGGGTGATGAGGTGGTTTTTGGTGTGATGGGAAATCATTCTTATGTATCCTTTTAGTTTGTTCAGTTGAATGTGATTTTTTCGTCTCCCTTGCTTCTTGAAATGAGAAGTTTCAGTTATACAATTTCCCAATTGTCGAGTGTTTCCTTTTTCTGCATGTATTTTTCTTTAAACTTGTATTTATGTGGGCAATTTTTCTTAATTTACTTCCAACTTAGATTTTCCAGCAACTAAATACTGAGGTTGCAGTTAGGGGTGCAGAAGTTCAAAGTGGAGTTGGGAAATTTCTGCAGCTTGAAAGGAGAAGTGGAGACCCTTCGGCTGTCACTGGGGCCTCTATTTTGGCTTCTCTTTCTAACCTCAGACAGGACCTTACAAGATGGAAATCTCCCTCTCAGACCTCGAGTAAACCTTACCAGGGTACCGATGTCTCTAGTCATTCTGTTCTTCATGATTGTACAGACATTGAGCTGGATGGCTCAGAATCAGCTCCAAATGTGCGGAGTGATAAAGCAGCTGATGTCGGAACAAGCGACAAGAATTCAACAATGGATTGTGATCCAGATGCTGACGCAGAGGCAGGCAATGTAAAATTCTCTGGGGTGAATGATTTCCTAAGGCCTTTCTTCAGGATCTTAGCTCGACCTAGTTGTAAACTGAAATTGAGCAAAAGTATCTGTAAACAGGTATTGGAAGAAAGAAATGGGACGCGGGATATGCAGGCTGCATCGACTTCGGGTACATCTGTGCGCTGTGCTGTGTTTAAAGAAGATGTCCATGCTGCTATACTGGATGGAAAAGAAATAGATGTGTCTTTTGAGAGTTTCCCTTACTATTTAAGGTATACTTTTATTCTATTCTGTATCTTTGCAATCTTATGAAAAGACCCAATAACTTCATTTGGTGTGGCAACTTTTCTTTTTAATATTTGAATTTATGTGGCAACCTTTCTTTTTAATATTTGAATTTATCTCATGTGTTTGGTGGTGCTTTTATAAATGATGGTTCCAAATTAGTTAGTAGCTTTTACTTTTCATGTTGTTACTTTCTCAAAATATCTATCTAAGGAGCATAGGGCTTGAAAGTGGCATAACGCTTGACATTTAATTTAAATTATTTTGGGAGGTTCCTGTGTCTTTTTAAGTGATATTAAGACTATTCTTTGTTTGTGTGTGACTTGATTAAATCTTTCATGGATTGTTGCTTGAAGTTATTCTTGTAACTCCTTTATTTGAAGGTTTTTTAATTCATGTAGAGATTAAGAGAGAAAGAGCATAGAGAGAGAGAGGCAGATTAGTGTGCTAGAATTGGATACTCTACAATGTATAGAGACCCTTATATTTATAAGGATACATATGTAACCTTACTGGGTCAAGCCCGTTATTATAGTATTAAAATAAACCCTAATCTTAATACGTCTATTCTAGCTATTCATAACACTCTCCCTCAAGCTGGAGCATAAATATTAATCATGCCCGACTTGTTACAAATATAATTACTATGTGTCCCATTTAAAGCTTTTGTAAATACATTTGTTAGTTGGTTGCCTGTCCTAACATGAGAGATGGATATAAACTTCTGCTGAACTTTTTCTCGAATAAAGTGACAGTCTATCTCAATATGTTTAGTCTGTTCATGATAAACTGGATTTGAGGTAATGTGTATTACTACTTAGTTGTCACACCAAAGTTGCATAGGCCTAGTGCTACCAAATCCTATCTTTTCCAGCATATGTTTCAACCACATTAATTGACAAATAGTCTGAGCCATCGTCCTGTATTCTGATTCCGCACTTGATCTTGAAACAACGTTCTATTTCTTACTTTTCCACTAAATTAAATTACCTCCTAAGAACACACAGTATCCGGTAATAGATTTTCTGTCCATAGATCCTGCCCAATTGGCATCAGAAAACGCCTCTATCTGTGCATGTCCATGATCTTTGTACACAATTCCTTTTCTTGGTATTTTTTTCAAATATTTCACAATGCAAATTAATGCTTCCCAATGAGTATTCATTGGAGATGACATAAACTGGCTAACAACATTCACTGGAAAAGCGATATCCGGCCTTGTGACAGTCAAGTAATTTAGCTTGCCTACTAATCTTCTGTATTTCTGTGTATCTGAAAAAGGAACTCTATCTGCTGTCAGTTTCACTCCTGACTCCATAGGTGTCTCACATGATTTAGCTCCTTTTAGTCCGGTCTCAGTTAATAAGTTTAAGACATTTTTTTTATGAAAGGAAGATTCCTTACTTGGAGTATATGACTTCAATACCTAAGAAGTATTTCATAATTCCTAAGTCTTTTGTCTAAAACTTAGTTTGAAGAAATTTTCTTAGGTTGCTGATTCCTTCTTTGTCACTACCTGTAATAACAATATCATCAACATAAACAACACGTAAAATACAACCATGGTTAGTCTGTTTGTAAAATACTGTATGATCACTCTCACTCTTCACTAATCCAAATTTTAGAATCACGTCACTGAATTTCTCAAACCATGCTCTAGGTGATTGTTTCAAGCCATATAATGACTTCTTTAAATGACACTCTTCCACACTCTCCCTGAGCAACAAAGCCAGGTGGTTGCTCGATGTACATCTCCTCCTATAAGTCTCCATGTAAGAATGCATTCCTGACATCTAGTTGGAATAATGGCCAATGATGCATAACCGCAAGAGAGATAAAGATGCGAACATATGAGAGTTTAGCAACTAGAGAGAACGTATCAATGTAGTCAACGCCGTAAGTTTTGACATACCCTTTTGCAACAAGGCGTGCCTTCAAACGAACCACATAACCATTCAGATTAACTTTCACAGTGTAAACCCACTTACAACCAATAGCTTATTTGCCCTCAAGAAGAGGAACAAAATCCCAAGTATCATTCGTCTAAAGAGCTAACATTTCTTCCTCCATAGCATGTTTTCAACCATCATGACTGAGGGCATCTGCAAGGGTCTTAGGAATAGAGAGAGTCTACACCAGCCATGAAAGATTTAGATGTAGAGGATAAATGAGCAGACGTCACATAAGATGAAATAGGATATGTGTGCATGATCTCTTACCTTTTCGGATAGCAATAGGAAGGTCAAGGTCAGACATAGGATCTGTTGACACGTGAGGAGATAATGGTCGAGGTTGAGTATCATCTTGAATATCATTAACCACGGGGAGCACATCATCTGAAGGCTGTTTTGGCCGGCGAGAGTATGTCCGCTCAAAGAACTTGAAACCTGTATCAATAGGATCCAGAGGTGCAACATGATGTGTAGATTGGACAAGAGTATAAGTCAAGAAAGGTTCATTTACCTCATCTATAGACTCAAAAGATGAGGACTTCAAGAATGGAAGACCTTCAAAAAAAGACACATCAGAGGAAATAAGATAACGACCAAGATTTGGAAAAAAACAACGGTAACCTTTTTGTGACCGAGAATAACCCAAAAACACACATTTGAGGGACTTTGGATTAAGTTTAGTTACCTGAGGACGAACATCAAACACAAAATAAGTGCAGTCCAAAACCTTAACAGGTAAAGAAAAGAGAAATTGTGATGGAAAAAGTATAGATTGGGGAATCTCACCATGTAACACAGATGATGGCATGCGATTAATTAAATATGCAGCAGTAAGAACAACATCAGCCGAAAAAGGTTTAGGAACTTTCATTTCAAACATTAAAGCACGAGCTACTTCTATAAGATGACGATTTTTATGTTCAGCTACTCCATTTTGTTGTGGGGTAACAATACAAGAAGACTGACGAAGTATGTCATGTTTATTCGTAAAATTAGTAAAAGATGCAGAAAAATATTATTTAGCATTGTTACTTCTAAAAATGCTCACACAAGTATTAAATTAAGTTTTAATTTCAGCACAAAAATTACAAAATATAGAAAAAATTTTAGATCTAGATTTCATAAAAAAACATCCATGTTGCACGAAAATAATCATCCACAAAGGTAATAAAATATTTAAAACCAGAATTATAAGTAATTGGGCAAGGTTTCAAACGTTAGAATGAACAATTTCAAAGGGGGGCATGAGCCCTTTTATTTAAACTAGGTAAATAAACAGTACGATGATGTTTAGCAAACTGACATGACTCCCAATAAAAATTAGACTCTATACTAAAACATAATTTCCTAAGAACTCCTAAAGACGGATGACCCAGATGGCAATGAAGTTGGAAAGGAGACACTATTTCATTCCTTGACGCAATAGAAGCTTGCGGAAGTCCTTCTTCTTCCAATAGATACAACCTATTAGATACCCTACCTGTACCAATAATCCTCTGTGTCACCAGATCTTGAAAAACATAAGAATCAGAAAAAAATGTTACTGAGCAATTTAATGATGAAGTGATTTGGCGAATTGACAACAAATTTAAGGAGAATTGAGACAAATATAAAACAGAGAATAAAGGTAAGGTTGAAACTAGGGTGGTACATCCGCTGCCCTTAATATGGACAGTAGAACCATCAACGAGTGTTATAGAAAAATGAGAACTGGGTAGACAAAAGGAGGAAATGATACATAAATCCCCAGTCATATGATCAGTAGCGCTAGAATCAATAACTCAACTCCTGGAAGAAGAGGAAAGACATGTAGTAGGATTACCTTTTTGGACCAAAGTAGCTATAGAGGATGTAAACGGTTGTTGGAAAATCTGAAACTGAGTATACTGAATAAATTCCTCATCACTCATACGCACAATACGTCCTTCTTTCTCCTGAATAGCTGTATCAGGTTGAGACACTGAGTTAGCGAAGCGGGAATTATCTTGTGAGTGAAAGAACAACTGATTTTGCAGAGGATGAGTACACTGATTCTAATAATGGCCAAATTCGCTTTAATTGTAACATTGTATAATACCACGACCTCCACTACGCCCACGACCATGACTACCTCTACCATCATTGCGACCACAACGGTGACCGTATTGGGCTGCCAAGGCAGAGTGGTTAGGAGTCTCACTTTTTGTAGTGCTCTTGAGTTCCTCAATGGAAGACTGTATAACTTTGGCGAAGACATCGTAAGATTATCAACCTGCTTGCTTGACAGAATCTGAGACCGAACTTCCTCATATTTTGGATTAAGTTTGGAGAGTCAACTCAAAGCTATGAGTTTCTTTTGTTGTGCTATTATCTCATCAATAGTTTTGCAAGCTAAAAGAGATTGTATCTCCTCAATATGCTTTTTAAACTCCAAAAAATAGTACATTAGCTTCTACTTATTTTGTTTGGGTCGATAAACTTCCTGCAAGAGAGCATATAATCGATTCAAATTATCAGATTTCCTAAAAATAAATTGAAAAAAATCCTACAACTTCTTTGGGTAATAATTGCTTGTATTCGCCTATCAACAGAGTTTACTAGCAACGCAAGGATTTTTTTATCGCATATCTTCCATATGTCAACATCCTTAGAATTGATAGGTGCTGTTTCAGTCAAATGATTATTCTTTTCCGTTCCACCTAGGCTAATCTCAACCAAATACTTCCACCCCATATAGTTTGTACCATCTCCATCCAGCTTAACTTCGATAAGTTTGGATAGAGATACTATCTCTGTAACAACCCCCTTGTGCACCTCCATCCTGCACATCTTGGCTATCATGTTTAGACATTGTAACGCTGCACTCAAATTGTAAACGTTGAATTACTGCATATTTTGGTCATCGGACAAATTTTTCATCCCCACAGCAGCCATGGTTAGTCTATTTTGAAGTTGCTGTTTTTTATTTTTGACGGCAGCGGCGACGGCGCAATGGAGGTGGCGGTGCGGGGGTGGTGGTGGTGGCAGCGACGGTGGCGACCAAGGAGAGAACCTAAAAGGCTTTGATACCATGTAGAGATTAAGAGAGAAAGAGCATAGAGAGAGAGAAACAAATTAGTGTGCTGGAATTGGATACTCTATAATGTGTAGAGACCCTTATATTTATAAGGATACATATATAGTCCTATTGGGCCAAGCCCGTTATTATACTATTAAAATAAACCCTAATTCTAATATGTCTATTATAGCTATTTATAACAATTCATAATGTATTTATGTTTGTACATTTTTTTTAGTGAGAATACAAAAAATGTCCTGGTGGCTGCTTGCTTTATGCACCTCAAGCATAAAGAACACGAAAAGTTTACTGCAGATCTTACAACCATAAACCCTCGCATTCTCCTTTCAGGACCTGCAGGTGTGTGGGTATTATATTACTGCTCCTCTTCTTTTTCTTTGAGTGGTTTTTCCCTTAATTGGCAAATTTTGTTGGGCGCAGGGTCAGAAATATATCAGGAGATGTTGGCAAAAGCACTTGCAAAATACTTTGGAGCTAAGTTGCTCATATTTGATAGCCATTTGCTTTTGGGTGTAAGATAAACCTTCCTTTTTGATCTGATACTTGTTATTCCTTAAATTAATTTTTACTGAAAACTCTGATAAGAATGTTTATTTGCTGTGTGATGATAGGGTTTATCTTCCAAGGAAGCTGAGTTACTCAAAGATGGATCTAATGCTGAAAAATCCTCCAGCTGCACAAAACAAAATCCTACAGTCACGGACATGGCTAGGAACATGGAACCATTAGCTAGTGAAACAGAGGCACCTAGCTCTTCAAATGCCCCTACACCAAATGGTTTAGAGTCTCAACCTAAGTTGGAAACTGATACCATGCCATCCACCTCTGGAACAGCTAAAAGTTGTGTGTTCAAACTAGGTGTGTGCTCTTCTACCTTTCTTCCTCTTTGCTTAGGTTTTACATAAAGTATGGCTTTTGGAGCTGTGTACACATGTTGGACATGTATATGATGTGTTTGCTCAATTTAAAAGTTAATTTTTTCAGCCACAACATGATCATTTAAAATTTGAAAAAAATATAAATCAGAGTTTGAATCTGTTTTTATCTTTTAAGCAAATTTTAACAATAATAGAAAAATGAGGGAGGTGCTTTTGTCATATACCAATTTCATTTGCAACAACTTTTTAATTTCATTTTGGTGCATATGACATATATCAAGATATTGTAAATCTAAAAACCTATATCTTTATATGATATTATGAATCTTAGTTTTTAAACTATAAATATATGTGTCGTGTCTATGTCATGTGTTATTTGTGTCTGCATGTGTGCTCTGTACTTTTATCTCAAGTTGTTCGTATTTTGTGTATATAATCATCATGCAGGTGATAGGGTGAAGTTTAGCTGTTCATCTTCTACTGGCTTATATCAGACTTCTTCAAGGTACAAATTAGTAGAAAACTTTTCTGAATTGATTTCCGTTTTTCTCGTTGATACACATTATTTTGCACTGTTTTTGTGTGTTTATAGAGGGTAAGTGATGACGAATACCTATGCAGACCCAACCTTTTATGTATGACAAAATAGTGTAGTTCATGGACCTTTGTATGCCAAAATCAAAGCATAACTGCACATTACCCTGATCACTTATGATTATGACATGGGAATTTCTTTATAATTGAAATTGTAATGATTATACCACCATAGTTGCGAGATTTAGACAGCAATGGGGAGAGGAGGAAAATTTTATGGTAATTGTGCTGTGGTAAAAAATTGAGACTACCGTCAGTCCTTTGGTTGTTAGGTTAGGGATGGTGCTTCAAGCTAAGAATTGCTTAGCTCATGTATTTTGTATTCCTTCTATATAATATATTCCTTTCTCTCTCCTCTCTTTCCTCTGTTCTTCACATTCTAGATTGCAACTTCAACCCCCTTGTTTGGGGAAAAATGTGGAAAAGAAATAACCTAGGGCATGAGGCTTCCACCTAATTGGGGGGGGGGGGGGGTGTTGTGGAGGGTAGATATATACCTAGACTTACCGTGTAGGTGGAGAGGATGCTTGTAGGATTTGAGCCGATGCCCTCCATGATGGGAAAGAACTTAGGGAAAATAAAATTGGAGTGATGAAATGAGGTACCAGAAATCAACTTTATTCTTCAAGATGACATTCTAAGATTGCTTACTTGAAATTTCGTTTGCAACTTCATTATTTTTTTAAACTTTCAGTTTCTCTCTATTTTTAGCAATACATTAGTCAATTATTCTTTTCTAGTTTATTCCTCCATATCTCTCGTTTTCTAGACCATTTGCTGCCACTTTTATCCCTAATTTCCATTGCTTTCAAAACCATTTCTTCATTTTCACCAACTACAAACCATAGTTATCAATCGTGTGCTGTAACAGCATGGCAGCTCTGTCACAATGCAATGCGGCTAGAGGCCACTGCAGATCTCTGATTGCAGAGGGTTTTTATGTTGTGATCATAGTTGTCAATTGCAATGTTGTCAAGATCCGATCCTAGGAGGGTAAAAAATCGTAAATTATGGGATCGTAAAATAGATTGTAAGATCCTACTAAATATGTAAAACTATACTTAAACACACACACATATATAAAAGCATAAAAAATAATATACATAAAAAATTAACATCTAAATTACATACTTTAATTAAACATAACTTAAAAATCATAGATTCTAAAAATGTATGTTCGGTAAAAGTTAATTATATTTTTTAAGACAATTTTAAAAAGTTTCAATTATAAAATAAACTAATTAAATTTGTATATTTTGAAATTTTATTATTTCTAAAAATTCGTTAGAATATTTTATAATATAAAAAAATAACTATTAGAATAAATTAATATAAAGATTGGTTAAATATGTTTTGTTGCGGGTAATAAATTATATTATTAAAAAAAGGAATGACAATTAATTAGTCAGAGTAGCATTTGGTGATTGAATACGTGTCAATTCGTGAATGAACCTGAGAAGCCTATGAGAACAAGATATTTTTGCTGCTAAGCCGTAATAGAACAGTAAGAAAATCAAAGAAAGAAAGAGTGAAATTCTCAGAGAAAAGAAGCTATGGTTTTGGCTTGCAGAAGAATGGGCAAGAAGAAGGTGGAGATAAAGTGAATCGAGGACAAAAGCACTTATCAAGTAACGTTTTTAAGAGGCGCAACAGATTGATGAAGAAGGCTCACGAGTTATCCATTCTTTGTGGCGCTAAAGTGGCTCTCGTCATCTTCTCCAGCACTGGGAGGATTGAGTGATGTTGGGAGAGAACTCCAAAATGGGTGATTAAAAATCGGGTCCCAAAAACCCGACCTAGAAACCCAAGTCTCAAAAACCTGATCAAGAAACCAAGTCCATGAAATTGACCTAGAAACCTGCATGCCAAGATCGGATCGGATCGGATCGTCGATCTTACGATCCTAAGGAGAAAGATTAGGATCTTACCCGATCTTGTTGTTTTCTGATCAAGATCACAGGGCAGGTTACAGATCGTACGATCGTATGATCTTGCGATTTTAGTTGCGATTTTAACAACATTGGTCAATTGCAACCATTGTGGCCCAGAACAAAGGAATTTTAGGGTTTTTTAAGGGTAAAAAAAGCTTCTAATCTTTTAGAAATAAGCTGATTTTTCCTTTTTGCCCTTGAGATGACAAATTTTTGAGGTTTTTTTAAGGTTAAAATAGTCATCTCAGTTTTCAAACCTAACCTCACTTTTTCCCATGTTTTTCTTCTTCATTTCTCTCTTTGATAACCTTTCTCTCGTCTCTATTGCTGTTCTGCTTTGCAACTTGAGACAAATGCTGAAACCTCACTTTTCCTCCACTTTTTTTCTTCTCCCCTTCTCTGTTCGACGCTCCCTCTCTCATCTTTCTCTCTGTTATGCTTTGCCACAATCTCCAATCTAGTAGAGTCACTCATCTTGGATGACTTCTCTGGCAAAATTCACTTCTTTTCTTCTCTCTATTCTGTGATTTTACAGTCCTGCTTCTGTTACATTCTCTCGAAAAATCCACTTTATTTTTTCTCTTTATGTCTTTTGTTGATAATTATTTATATGCTATTTATGCATATTTTTTGAGCATTATATACATAATTATCTGAATATGTATATATTTTATATCCATATAAAAAGCTTTAAAATAGCGGTTATCCCGCAATAGCGTTTTAAGGGTTGTCTGCTACACCCGCTATCCGAGATTGACAGCTATGGTTGTGACTGACCGCCAAAATATCATCCAGTCATGCCCCCTATTGTATCATGGGGGTAAAGCACCATTTTCCCCCTGATTTCTTAAACCCTAATTCTTTGGCATTTTGGTCATTTCCATGGCATTTTGGAATCAGAAAAAAAAAAAACCCTCCTTTAATTATTTCCAACCATTATTCAGGTTTGAAGCAAGCCTCTGTTCTTCTGGTCTAACTTCAGAGCCACTGATTGCCTTTGATATTCCTGGCCAATTCTGGCATTTTCTTGCACCTTTTCCAGCATCCTTTGATCTCAACTATTCCATCTCTAACCTGTCTTCTGTTTGCACTCCTCTGTCACAGCTTATAGGTCTCACTCTTTTCTTATCCAGCACCCTCTGTTAACCCCCTGATGTTCTGATTTTTAAGATTATGACTTTAATTTTGGATAATTTTTATTTTTTTATCATTTATTTATGTATAATTGATAGGACAACTTCTCTTAGGCAGTCATGCTCTATGGTGTGACAGTTATAGTGTTATAAATAGGTGGTGTTTAGAGCTGTAGGAGAAAGTTGAGGCATCAGATTGTTGCTTGTGTTTTGAGGGTGGAATCTCCTTGTTAGGGTAAAACCTTGTGTAGTTGATATATTGTTCAAATCTTGTCTATTAACCATATTATTTTAATAAAATTGTAACTGTTTCTGGATGTTCAATTCTTGAGTACAACAGTAGTATAAATTATGTTGAGTTTATAATTTTTGGTGTGGTGGTCTTCCTTCTATGTGCTGTCATGCTATAGCTTTTTTGGTGCTGGCTACTCTGCATTAGTAGCTGGGAACCTGGGATTGATAAATACGCTCCAAACTAAGTGCAAGTGTTTCTATTTCTTATTATAATTTTGATTAGAAATTTCATATATAGGGGCCCACCTAATGGAAGTCGAGGGAAGGTTGTCTTACTATTTGATGATAATCCCTTGTCTAAAATTGGTGTGAGATTTGATAAGCCAATACCTGATGGAGTTGATCTTGGTGGTGCCTGTGAGGGAGGTCAAGGATTTTTCTGCAATGGTAATTTATTCTCTAGCTCAACATTCATATTTATTGATGTTCTATATTCTTGTTTCTTTGATCCATATTCTATACAGTCTTGTATCTTAATTATTTTTCTGTTTCCAGTCACTGATCTTCGTTTGGAAAACAGTGGTGTGGAAGAACTGGACAAATTACTCATTAATTCATTGTTTGAGGTTACCTTTACCCTGCTCTGTTGTCTAAAAAATCCTATAATTATTTTGGCTTTGATCTTACAGTTAGATTTTATCCTTCATTTTGTTTCAGGTTGTTTTCAGTGAGAGCAGAAGTGCACCATTCATTTTGTTCATGAAAGATGCGGAGAAGTCTATTGTAGGAAATGGAGATCCATATTCATTTAAAAGTAAGCTTGAAAATCTTCCAGACAATGTGGTTGTAATAGGTTCACATACTCAAACTGACAGTCGCAAGGAGAAGGTAATGCCTATTGGTTAAATTAATCTATAGCCTGTAGGGCTTTATGTTGAATTTTTCATTAGATCTCCTTTGCTTTGTTTGATGAGGGATGAAATGGATAGGAAAGGAATACAAGTGTGGGAAATAGGGTGAGAACGATGTGTTGTTTGGATGGGTAGAAATAGGAGGTGAAAATAATTCTCTCCACTTTTTTGAATGAATAAAAAAAGGGTGAAAAGAAATTAATTATATAAAATAAAATACTGTTTGTAACCATAAAAATTTAACTTTTTATTTGTAAAAAATATTTTTAAATTATGTAAAAATATTTAACATTTTAAATGAATTAAATAAGCCCAATTCCCTTCCACCCCCCATATTAGGGGTGTTTTTCTTTTGTGGGCTCTACATTTTTCTTTTATTCCCTTCCTTCCCTCTCTACATTCAAACACCTGACCTTCCTCCCTTCCCCCATATTCCTTTTTCTCCTCCTGTTTCCTCCCCCTATCCAAACAGACCATGTGCTTTTATAGTTTGAAAGTTTCTGCACACCAACTCTTCAATTGTTACCTGTTCAGAAAATTTTCTGACAACAAACAACAACCAAACTTTATCCCACTAGTATAACAAAAATGTAATTGTGTCCTTGCATCTAGTTTATCATAACACTCAGTGATTTAATGGTAGGTATCAAATTAGATATTATTTTATTTGAAGCTCTAAGTATCTGTTTACAAGTTTTAAAATGTGGGGATTTTATTGCAAATCCCTTAATAATATAGGGACTTGCATTTTGTTGCAACATTTTTTCAAACATGGTAACTCCATATAGTGACACAAAGCAGCCTATCCTGAAAATGCTATAGCAAGTGACCACTATTATGAAGTTTTTGGATACACATTACATATTTGTTACTGTACACATGATGAAAAAAGCACAAAATTAACAACATTTGTAATTAAAGATCAAAAGTCAGAATTTGAAGCTAAAGAAAACTTGTCAATAACAAGTGTGATGGGCTAACCTGAACATTGCCTCGGAGCAAGGCACGGAAGGCAGAGAGATGAAACACCTATTTCAGTGAGATTAGGACAGTACAAATTAGGGACAGAACAGATCAAGTCTGTATGGATTGCTGGTTGGCTAGAAACAGTAATGGGCTCACTGGATGATGGCTGCAGAGATCAGGGGTGGCTATGGAACAGAACAGGTCTGCAGAAGTCAGGGTTAGCCAGAAAACTGTCACCAGTGGCTGCAAAAGTTGCGAGTGAAGCGTGGGTGTTTGTCATAGGAGGAAGATGGGTTTTCATCAGGTGTAGTGCCCCCATTCAAGGATGGGAAAATATAATTTCATTTGAAACTTCTGATTCAAAGAAAGGGGAGGGGAGGGGAGGGGCGGGGGGGAGGAGGTAAAATAGTGAGATTGCCCCTGTCAAGCTGTCCTAGACAACACAGGGCTAAAATGTGGGGGTGGGGGGGGGGGGGAGGGCTGCACTGAGTAAACTGTTGCAGCTCTATGACTGCCATTCTGTTTGCAACACTATTTAAGTTCTGTAGCACCCAGGAGTCACTCTTCTCTATGATCCTGTCATAGAGCCACTATTTGGTGCAATTAACAACTGTGTTATACTCTTTTTGAAAGCTTTGTATGCATATCATTTGGTTTATTTGCACAAACTTTTGTTGAAAGAATAAACCAAATATCTGTAATTTTAAATGGTTATGGGCCTTATATATCGTTTTGTTTTATATTAGTTGTGAGTTGTGACTTGTAAATGATGTATTTTGTTGTGAAATAATTTACAATTTGGATATCCTATACATTTGATTGTTTGAATTTCCCTTCCGTCACTGATCCAAATTTCTCCATAAATGATTATTTTATTGATATACAATAATTTTTTCCTGCAGTCACATCCTGGTGGTTTGCTTTTCACAAAATTTGGTAGTAATCAGACTGCCCTTCTTGACTTGGCTTTCCCGGTAAGTACTGCATCTCCTTTTCACTTTATTTCTTCTATTTGAAATAGAGAAATAGTAATTGCTGATATATGCTTGTTTTGGTATATCTTCTTACATGCAGCTCAACCATATTTGTTTCACGCTTTGTGATCGATTTAAAGGTTATGTCTCTTTAATCTTTTTCAGGATAGTTTTGGACGATTGCATGACAGGGGGAAGGAAGTCCCAAAGCCAAACAAAACTTTGACTAAGCTTTTCCCAAATAAAATTTCAATTCACATGCCGCAGGTATACACAGTGGATTGCATGTCTGTAGTTTTGTTTTCCTTATACAGTATTCATAATATATTTCCTGTCATAGGATGAGGCTCTTCTAGCATCTTGGAAGCAGCAACTAGATCGAGATGTTGAGACTCTTAAAATCAAAGGAAATTTACATCACTTGCGCACAGTAAGTGCCTTTTGTTTGCTTGTGAGTTTAATTCATACAGCACAACGGAAAGGTATTTTTATTGTAACATCTGAGTATTCCACGTAAATAATTTGTGTTGGAGGCTATATAGTGCTTTCCTTAATAGATTATTTCATTGTGGTACTAAGTAATTGAAAGTATAATTTGATCTGAATGGATAAGACACCAGTCAAACAGTCAATGCAAATTATGCTTACCCGCTGAAGTTGTTTCCCTAGCATATATGTTCTTTAGATCATTACTTCTTTACAGTTGGATATTGATTCTCATATCAGTTCTGGAAGGATGTTTGGGTGGGGGATTTTATTTTTGCTGAGAAATTTTACCTAGTCTCCACCATCTCTCCATCTTGCATAATTTTCCTATTCAAAGTTTTAATTTCAAGGCTGACATTTTACTTTAAACTTTAGTTTTTCGTAGACATTTAAGCGATTGAAAGTGAGTTAGAGCCCTTTTGTTTGACCTTTGTTTGATTCTGTTGTATGTTTTACTTATCTAGATAGGAGAATTTAGACCCATATTTTATTTGGTCTGTTTTGATGTTCCTTTAATAAATTTTCTAATTTTATCAATATTCAGAGGTTCATTTTTTGTGAATTCAGATTCAGTTGAAAGTTCAAATTCCTTAAGTCAATTATTTTGTTTGGAAATTGGTACATTATTGGATTACTTGACAAAAATGTTGAACTATGTAGTGATGTAAATGTGATTGTTTATTGTTGCAGTTGTGGTGTTCTAAATTTACAGTAATTACAATCTAGCTAATTTTATTTATAGGTTTTGGGCCGATGCGGAATGGAATGTGAAGGACTTGGGACCTTGTGCATTAAGGATCAGACACTTACAAATGAAAGTATGTTCTACCATTAAGTGCTTTAGGATTTGTCTCTAAAATCTCCCTCCTATGTCATGTTTGCTACATTGCAGATGCAGAGAAGATAGTTGGTTGGGCTTTAAGCCACCACCTCATGCAGAATTCTGAAGCTGATCCTGATTCAAAGCTTGTATTGTCATGTGAGAGGTAATTGCTAGCTTGTACTGTTTGTTAGTTTTAATATTACATGTACTTTATTGCAAATTTACAATGGTAATGTTATTACCATATTCCTCCAGCATCCAGTATGGAATTGGGATCTTGCAGTCTATCCAGAATGAATCCAAGAGTCTAAAGAAATCTCTTAAGGTGATTGTGATGTGCTTTTGCTGCTTAAAGCATGTTTGGATTAGCTTTTTTTTCAGGGAAAGAAGCGCTTATTCTTCAAAATCTCTCTCACAAAGCTGCCAAAAGCAAGTGATTATATCCTCAAAATAAGCTAAACCAAGCATGCACCTAGCTGTTCATTCCAGCTTTGCTCCTTATAACTTATTATGTTGGGATAGTTTTACCAACTTTCATGAACACTATATTCTAAATCATGTTGCTCAGGATGTCGTAACAGAAAATGAATTTGAAAAGAGGCTTTTGGCTGATGTTATTCCACCTAGTGACATCGATGTTACTTTTGATGACATTGGAGCTCTGGAAAATGTCAAGGATACATTGAAGGAGTTGGTGATGCTTCCTTTACAGCGGCCTGAGCTGTTTTGCAAAGGGCAATTAACCAAGGTTTCACTTCATTTACTGATTGTAATTTGTTTTATTGTTTAGCAGTTTTTTTATTTCTGTTCTTTATGTCAGTTAACTGTTTTTGAGATAGATCTCTCTAGTATTGCTCTTTTCATTGCATACTCTTTTACTAGTTCCTTCAGTTGTTGATTTGATTGACTGATTGATTTTTTTATGCTTTTAACGGGCTTGAATCTTTCGGTGCACTTCCTCTATCCCCAGTTGAAAAGAGAGGGAAAAAAGGAAGTAGAATCAGCTGGCTGTGTTTTAATTCTGTTCAAATGACCTATTTGACATCTGGGGATTTGTAGCTTTTGTATCTGATATTGGCCTCTGCAGGATATGCAACTCATTTGTTGTTCAAAATCTGCCTTAAATTGTAAAAGCTAAAAGCATATGTGATGGGCAACTGGTTACAAGAAACTGGTTTTGGAGAAACTTTGGAGCTTTATTTTCATAATAGTTTAAATATTTATGTGGCATACCCCAATAAATTTGTTAAGAGAAGAAAAAATGAAAGAGTATTTATGAAATTCATGTGTTTCAACTCAACGAGTATATATTTATATTGATAATAACATTAATTACAGATAATAACATTAATTACAGAATATTTAGTTACCTAATTAACGTAATTACAAAGATACACCTATTACTATAATTACATATATTTAACATTTCTCCTCAAGTTGGAACATATATGTTGCACCAAGTTTGTCACATATATAACTAATATGAGGATCTCAATGATTTGGTGAAGACATTTGCAAGTTGATCATTCGAATTGACAAAGTTAGTAATGATGTCGCCAGATAGGATTTTCTCCCTAATTAAGTGATAATCTGTCTCAATAAATTTTGTTCTTTCATGGAACACTGGACTTGAGATAATATGCAGGGCTGCTTGATTATTTCAAATGAGTGTTATTTTCAAAATCTCTTCAAATCTTAGTTCTTTGAGTAATTGTTTCAACCAAATAAGTTCACATGTAGTTAAAGATATGGCTTTGATATTCTACTTTTGCGCTTGAACGAGCAACTACACTTTATTTCTTACTCTTCCATGAAATTAAATTACTGCCAAGAATGCAATAGACAGAAGTGTATTCCTGTCAGTAAGGGGTCTACGCAATATGTATTATAGTATCTCACAGTTTGAGCATGACCCTTATCTTCATACAAAAGTCTTTTTCTTGGAGCTTCGTTGATGTATTTTAAAATGCAAATTAATGCATTTAAATGTCCTTCACCAGAAGAGTTAAGAAATTGATTACAAAAGAGATATCTGAATGAGTGACAGTGAGATAATTTAGCTTTCCAACAAGCCTTCTATACTTCTCCCTAATTTGACTGAAGTTTGGAATTATGATCCATACGAGTGTTTACAAGGTGGGCACCCATCAATCTAACTTTCTCTTAAATATCCAATGCATACTTCCTATAAGAAATCACTATCTTTCTTAGATTGTGTCACTTCTAATCTTAATAAGTATGAAGGTCTGCCAAAATCTTTTGTTTGAAAATGATGTGATAAGTGTTGCTTTATTTGTGTAATACTATGGTGATCTCTATTGGTAATAACAATGTTGTCGACATAAACAATTGAATAAATTCATCCTGAGATAGAATGATGATAGAAGATTGAGTGATCAATTTCACTTTGAGGCATTCTAAATTCTTGGACTACAGTACTGAAACAACCAAATCATGCCCTAAGAAATTGTTCAAGTCCATACAATGATTTTTGCAAACGACAAACTAATTTGGGAGACTCCTCTTAAGCAACAAATTTTTTAGGAGGTTGCTGCATATATACTTCCATGAAATTATATGGATAAGAATAGGCAAAAAAAGGTCATTTTAGCCATATGAGAGAATGTTATCACCATAATCTAAACCAAAGACTTGAGTATAACCTTTAACATCTAGACGAGCCTTACGATGATCAATATGGCCATCAGGGCCAACCTTGACAGTGTAAATTCATATGCATCCTACAATAGATTTTTCCAAAGGAAGTAGAATAAGGCTCCAAATACTACTTTGAAGTACACATTTCATCGATCATAGCTCATAAGAGAGAGCATCACTTCTATTTTTAGGAATAGAAATAGACGAAAATGAGGAAAGATAAGTACAGTTGGAAGGGAACAATCAATGATATGTTAAAACTACATAATAAGGAGAGGAATTACGAGTGGAATGTATACCTTTTCGAAGAGCAATAGGAAGATTAGAAGTTGAAGGCTTATGCTCCTTGTACCATCAAAGGAAGTCAGTATAGGTGGGAGGACTAGAAGTTGAGGGCATAACTAGAGCCATAAACTTAGAAGGGGCAAATGAAGCTTTGCTTGGGCCATGAGCCCACGTAGTAGCAAGCGAAACCGGCGTGAACAGCATCAAAATAACCAAACAGTGGCTATAGGAAGTATGAACAAACAAACCAACTGTAGATCTGGAAGGAGAATGGAATGACGACTCTGTCGATGTTGACAATGGTCCAGATTGTGTGATCACGGGCATAAAGGTCATTGGAATAGTACCCATGATGAACAGTTACTCTGGTGATAAACAGTATACTGCGGAGGGAAGACCCACAAACTGTAATTGAAGTGCAGTTTCTGGAAAAAAATTTCACCAATGAGTAGTAGGTCCACTGGTACACGGCAATTACCTTTTCGCTAGACTCTAGATGCCATGTTAAGAGAGAAGGAAAAACGAAAGGGCATTGATGAATGTGTTTCAATTACAAAATGAAACATATATTAAAATTGATAATAGCAATAATTACAGAATATATACAAAATATTCACTTACCTAATTAACGTAATTACAAAAATACACTTACCTTATTATTATAATTATTTGTATATTTAAAAAAATTTTGAAGACCATCTAATGGGCTCTTCGTCCGAATATTATTATCCATTCTGATATCTCATCTTGGAATTTATTTTTGTGCAGCCATGCAAAGGTATCCTATTATTTGGTCCCCCTGGAACTGGTAAAACAATGCTTGCAAAGGCAATTGCTACTGAAGCTGGAGCAAACTTCATCAACATTTCTATGTCAAGTATTACATCTAAGGTTAAATTTGTTTCTCACTGGATGTATTTTGATCTCACCTTTATCAGTTTGTTGTGCATGTTAACTCACATTCTTGCCCTCTTATGTTTCAGTGGTTTGGTGAGGGTGAGAAATACGTGAAAGCTGTTTTCTCTCTGGCGAGTAAAATTTCTCCTAGTGTTATATTTGTTGACGAGGTATGTCTTTTAAATAAAGTGGTATTATTTTTTGAGTCATTGGATATAACTTTACTAGCTTTGTTTCAGGTTGACAGCATGTTGGGTCGTAGGGAAAACCCAGGGGAGCATGAGGCCATGCGAAAGATGAAAAATGAATTCATGGTGAATTGGGATGGCTTACGTACAAAGGATACTGAGCGAGTTCTTGTGCTGGCAGCCACTAACAGGCCTTTTGACCTAGATGAGGCCGTCATAAGGAGGCTGCCACGAAGGTAATTGTTTTGAATACAGGGGGTACTTAAGAACCCTAGCATACGTTAAAGATTTTGTAATATTTGGTTTTCTGCAGATTGATGGTTAATTTGCCAGATGCTGCTAATAGAGCAAAAATATTGAAAGTTATACTGGCAAAAGAGGAATTGTCTCCTGATGTTGATTTGGATACAGTTGCAAGTATGACCGATGGATATTCTGGAAGTGATCTCAAGGTTGGTGGTGTTTATTTTACTGTTACCCTATAATTTTAAAATTAGTGTTACTATTTTTAGCCAATATTTGATGTTTGCTTTTGTACTGCAGAATTTGTGTGTAACTGCTGCTCACCGTCCAATAAAAGAGATATTAGAAAAGGAGAAAAAGGTATCTCCAACGGTTTGTCACTACTTTTGATGGTAGAAGTTAAAGTTTGGTTGAATGCATGAATCATTCTTTGAAGTCTGTGTTATTTGCATGTGGTAAAAATTATGCTCTAAAATCTATGGTAAATTATGACCTTGGTTGAGAGAATGCAATGTTAGAGCTGGATAATTCTCTATTTCTTGATGATCTTAGACTTTCAACTAATTTCAGATAAACTTGTTGGTCTGTACTTCTTATGGAGGGGAGTTGTAGTGCACAAAAAAATGGATTTATATTAAACAGGAGCTCGTGCCGTCTTAATGTTTTTTTATGCTATGACAGGAACGTGCTGCTGCTCTGGCAGAAGGTCGACCAGCTCCAGCATTATGTGGGAGTGGGGACATCAGATCTTTAAACATTGAAGACTTTAAATATGCTCATCAACAGGTATGAAATGAAACCCTATTTAAGCAAGGCACTCCTGTCCTTCGAGGCCTCCCACTTTTTCTTAGTAGTGAATCACTTTGTGCTCTATATTTATATTGAAACAGGTATGTGCAAGTGTTTCTTCTGAATCAGTAAATATGACTGAGCTTTTACAATGGAATGAACTATATGGCGAAGGTGGTTCAAGAGTAAAAAAAGCACTAAGCTATTTCATGTGAGAGTTTTTCTTTGGCTGACATGTTTCCTCCCCCCCCAATTGCTGCCTCCATCTCCTGAAGCCTGCACGTTTATAGTTTTGCCAATTTTTAGGGCTTCCAGGGGTTTGGTATTGAGCCATTTCATTTGTAATGAAATATAGGTTTTTTAAAGTTATTTTTCGTACATGTGGGATGATGGGTTTTGAAGGTATTGGAGCCTTCCAGAATTTTGGCCGGCCCTGCTGCTTTTGTTTTGTTCCTCATCCCAAAAGAACATCTTTTAATTTTTTTCCAAGTTGTAGAAGTCCAACTAGATGAAGATAAAATAGCCAGATGATCCCGTGCATATATTTGGTCTCTTTATCGAAATCTGCTGCAATAATAAGCATTTAGATCTTGTCCTTTGTCTTTTTATGACTTTTATGTACATATCGTGCATGTTAGAGCGGAGCCCTCATTAATTGATTCCTGCGTTATTGAAGATTTTATTTGAATTCTGCACTCAATGCTAAAGTGTTAATGATGGATGCATCTTTTTATTCAATGCTTTTTCTATAACATTGTTTCATAAATGACTTATCCCACCTAGAAGTTTCCGTGCCCATTGATGTTGGTAGTTCGGGGATTTTATCGCTAATGTTAATGAGTACCCCGGTTCTAAAAATTTATAAGACCACGCATTTTTCGACTTTCAAAATTCCCTTGAGGGGGTTGGATAGTATCATCTTTCAGAAGCGGTTCAACGATTTGTACTGATTGTGCTGTTGTAGCATGACAGTGACCAGTTTGGCCAAGTTTTAGCATTACTTGCATTGAAACTGGTGTAGCAGCATGGACGTTGGTAGTAAAACTCTTGGGCGTGAGTATGTGTCGTTATCTACTCGAAAACTTACCCGTGAATATTGTGATGTGGTTTTTGGAGAACGAAAGAGAGGTAATATATGATTTATGATGTAATAATAACATGATTAATATATGAAATTTATGTAAATATATTATAAAAAATATTAATTTTATCTAAAGATTAAGTAGGAAAAGAAAAATACATGAAGAGTTTTTGGGTTTAAATATTGTTTTACAGGAGTGAAAAAAATTATGAGACTTTCATTTTCTTACGCAAAAGGGTGAGATTTTTTAATAATCTTTTTAAATAATATAAAATATTAAAAATTATATAATTAAAAAAATATTTTTATCATAAACTATGTTTTACTTTGCTTTTCATTAATTCAAATAAGTAGTTTATTTCATTTCTTTCTCTCTTTTTTTATCTATTCAAATAATATATATACATATATATATTATCTCATTTCTTCTTCTTTTTTCTATTTTATCCAAACATAACATTAGAATTATGTTCATGTTAAACCGAAGTAAAGTGACACTCACGCACATAGAAGGTAAATTTTGGAGATGAAACTTAAATTAAACAATTTTTGTTACCAGGTAGGAAGATTAGCAAAGATCTAGTCCAGACGATTAATATAATGTTAAAACGAATTATATGTATGAACGTGCATGCTTAAACTGTAAATAATTTTATTCAGCTATAACTAATTAACTAATAAAAAAATTGCATATTTTCATGAAATATATCTACTCATTAATATGCCATTAAAAAATACTATGAATAATAATAATAAGTTTGCATATACATCAGTGTGTTTTCGCCTTTAATGATATATTTTCGTAATTAGATATGCAATATTATGAGTTAAGACATTCACATTATAGGCAAATAATTGGACTGAAATAAAAATAAATGCGATAAAATAAGATAAAACTTTTTTTCTATTGTAGTGAAAATTAAATGGAAATATATAATTTTTTGTAAATTATTTAGAGTTAACGTAATTTTATCTAAGATATCGTAAAATGAATACGATTTATCATATTATTATTATTATTATCAAAATTTTATGATAAGACAAAATAAAATGTATATTTTATTATTTTAAGAGTATGTAAAATTACGAGGATAATCACTTTCAAATTAAAACAAATATATTAAATACATTTCTTTCATTTTTTTTAATAAGAAACAGTTTTACTTAAAATAACACATTACTTCATTATTATATTTCTCCTGGTTACATCCTTTCTCGTTTCAAAATATGCTTGAGTTATTTATTCCATATTTTCCCACATTTCCAGTTTCCCAAACGTTAAGTTATATTGCTTTTTCTTTTGTCATATCAAATCTGTATATTTATATATTTATTCAACTCAATAATCAGCAGAAGTATAAAACGTAAAATTGTCGGGGGAGAATAAAAGAGAGAGAAGAGGTACACTCAGGTAAGGTTCGGTGCAGTGCGAACAGTTGCAGTTGTTGATTCAAATATCCAATTCCCAACAAACAACCCAATCTTACTAAGCAACAGAACAGACACACGCGCCAATCAAAATGGCGGATCCGATCGTTGCGCCACCAAGATCCGCCACCGACCTCTTTTCGGATCCACTCGACGCCCACCCGCTATGGTTCAAACCCGCATCGTTTCTCTCCCCAGACTTCGATTCCGAATCCTACATTTCGGAGCTCCGAACCTTCGTTCCCTTCGACACTCTCCGTTCTGAACTCAACAACTACCTCTCTTCTCTCAACCACGAACTCATCGACCTCATCAACCGTGACTACGCCGATTTCGTTAACCTCAGCACCAAACTCGTCGACGTCGACGCCGCAGTGGTGCGCATGCGGGCCCCGCTCGTGGAGCTCCGAGAGAAGATCGAGCAGTTCAGAGGATCCGTTCAGGTTTCGCTCGTCGCTATAAAGAACGGTTTGAAGCAAAGATCTGAGGCTGCTTCCGCTAGAGAGACTTTGGAGCTTCTCCTTGACACGTTTCACGTCGTTTCCAAGGTAGAACCTTAATTGTGACTCTAATTACTGATTAAATGTAGTGGAATGGTATGAGGATCTTTCATCGAAGATCCTGATGGCATTTCTTCCATATTTGATGAAAATTTTGCGGAATGAATCGAGTGTAATTTTACTATTAAGTATAATGTGTTGTATTTGCTTGAGTTGGAAGATTAATAGATTATGCTAATTTTTTTTACTTGTTTAGTTCGAGTGAGTGTGTCTAGTGTCATTTTCATTGTTAGGTTTAGGTTGCTTGTTGTTTATGTTGATGAAGGGGTCTAGAACTGGGTAAATTTTTTCACCAGAGAGATATTGCATTTGATAAGATGTTTGTTTTGATTATTTATTGCATTAATTTTTGAAATGTTGGGGTTGAGAGAGTAGGTGTTGGCTCAAAATTCGTATGCAATTTTATGTGGTAAATTTGTATTATTGCAGGTTGAGAAACTAATAAAAGAGCTGCCTAGTGTACCCACCGACTGGTCAAATGGAGATGTAAATTTGCCAGAGGGAAATTTCTTGAGCAATGGAGTTCCCGTGCAGCATGCTGAGAATGGGACAAGTATCAGAGAGACTCAAAGCATGCTGCTGGAAAGAATTGCCAGTGAGATGAACCGACTAAAGTTCTATGTCACACATGCAAAGGTTTGTTTTAATTTTTTTTTTTTTCTCTTTTATTGATTTTTCTGTGTGTGTGTGTGTTTGTGACTTTGTAACGACAATTTTCAGAAAAATTCGTAAATCATTTGGCAGTAAATTTTTGTTGAAAACAGGGTTGGAATTGAATGCAGAAGCTTAGTGAGAGGTCATGGCTATGTCATTTTATGGGCTATGTGTTGGTTGTTATTTCTCGTCGTTAACGTGTAAAGTATAAACACTGCGACTTAATTAGCATTCTGAAAGAAGTAAAGAACAAAAAGAGAACATGTAAGGGAGAAACCTGGTTTATTAAGTGCCATGTTGAACAGATAATTTATAGTTTTGTAATTGTGTCAGTCCTTGGATTAAATAATTTTCTCGTCCATTTAATTCTGGTATATATAATTAGGCATCAGAAATTCATGGTTTACTATTGTTTATCGTGCATTTTCATTTAGCTATAATTGGAGTTGTTTAGGTTAATGCCTGCAGAGTGGAGAAATCTAGAAAGGATTCAAGGAAGCAATTATGTTCTGAAGGAAAAACTGTTTACCATCACTGACACAGTATTCTAGAATTTGATTAGATATTTAAAAAAAAAGTTATCCATTTTTTGAGGATTTAACTCTAGGTTTGTATATTGAATACTTAGATTTTGTATAGACTAGATAATTTAAGTTTGTAAAGTGATTTTAATTAAATAAAAATTGGTTTAAGAATCACATCACTGAGTCCTGCATAAATATGTTGATGGGTTAATATTTGGAGTTCTAGTAGTTTATAGCATTATATGTTCCTTGAAGTTTCATGGATGTTAATTTATTTATTAATTTTAAGTTTTGACTTCCTGTTTTCTAGTGTTTTAGAGGTATAGACCTTTTGTTTAAGGCCTTAGTACATTCTGTGCTCATCTCTTTTTCTCTATTATGCCAGTACAGAACCTGCCTTTTATTGAGAATATGGAGAAGAGGTTTCAAAATGCAAGCCTTACAGTGGATGCAAGCTTGGGGCATTGCTTTGTAGATGGTTTAGAGCACCGGGATGCAACTGCAATTTACAATTGCTTACGTGCATATGCTGCCATAGATAACACCAAAAATGCAGAAGAAATTTTTCGAATCACTGTTGTGGCTCCACTGATACAGAGGATTATCCCACATGGATCATCAGCTGTGGTTGCTGGATCATCTGGGGATGGACTTGAAAATGATTATCAACTAATTGAGGAGTGTATTGATAAAGACTGTAAATTCTTATTGGAAATTTCTTCAGCTGGTATGTTGTCTGGCTTTTTTCTTGCTACTTTACTTCACAAATATTAAAATGGTACTTTTTGATTGTTACATCTCCATATTACGATCCATATGATCCTTACTCTGTCATAACTGTAATAATTTCGTGGACCCTGTCATCCCTTGCTGAGGCATTCTCTCGTCCTTCTTGGTCTTTAAGAGTTAAAACTATTTAATCACTGTTCACTTTTTTACTACATATATTTTTAGCTAGATCATCTATTGTCATATTGTGGTTTTGCTGAAATATGTCATGCTTACATATAAAAAAGACACAGGTTCAGTTTGGATAAGCTTGATAAAAAATACTTGTAGGAGAAAAAAATAAAGAGATAAAACAAATAAAATCCTTCACAGGTTAAAATTAACTTATGCTCTTGTACACTTTTTAGAAGCTTTCTCAATTAACTTCTTCAAAATATGAGGTGCATAAGTTAATCATAACTTACATGAAATGCTTTATTTGTTTTATCTCTTTATGTCCTTCCCCTACAAGTACTTCTGCAGAAGCTTACCCAAATTGGGCCATAATGTGAAATTTAAGACTGCTATATTTACATATTTGAGGCTTGGTCTTTGGTGCAGAAAATTCAGGTTTGCATGTCTTTGACTTCTTAGCCAATTCAATCCTTAAAGAGGTTCTCTCTGCAATTCAGAAGGGAAAACCAGGTGCATTTTCTCCTGGAAGACCAACAGAGTTCTTGAAAAATTACAAATCAAGCTTAGATTTCTTGGCTTATTTAGAAGGTAGTAATCATATCACCCTTTCTTTTATCTTTTCACCTTGAGAAACAGAAAAACGACCCTCAACCTCAAGTTTCAAAGAACTTTGGTGATTTAATATATAATTTGATTGTGCATTTGTTAATTTTATTATTGATACATGTCTTTAAGAGTATATATTGATTATATTCCCTAATATTATAACATTTAATGTCATGCAAGGCTACTGTCCATCCAGATCTGCTGTTGCTAAATTTCGATCTGAATCAGTTTATGCTGAGTTCATGAAGCAATGGAATATTGGAGTATATTTTTCTTTGAGGTGCTTACACTTCTTTAAAATGGTCATAACTTTAGAATGCTTGTATTGCTGTGTTACATGGAAATCATATTGCAATTGCCTCAGGTTTCAGGAAATAGCAGGGTCTCTAGAATCTGTGCTTACAACATCTAGTCTGGTTCCTGTTCAAAATTCAGATGGTGGTGAAGCAAATTATCAAGATTTAACATTAAAACACAGTGTTACTCTGCTGGAGAGTTTGAGATCGTGCTGGAGAGAAGATGTTCTTGTCCTTTCATGTTCTGACAAGTTCCTTAGACTATCCTTGCAGCTTCTTTCTAGGTCAGTTTAAGCTGGGATGTTAAGAATGTGTGTGTTTTTAAAAATATGCTGACAGAACAAAAATGACTTCTCTTCACTTACAGATACTCAAATTGGCTGTCATCTGGACTGACTGCTCGCAAGAACCATAACACAAGTACTAGCTCTGGGTGTGAATGGGCTGTTACGGCTGTCATAGATGACTTCATTTTTGTATGCAGCACACCTTCACCTTATTTTTGTATGCATGATGTGTTCATGATAATGACCTTGATGGAATGACATTAGTGCTGCTTGCATTGTTTGCCAAATATGTAAAATGAAGAAACGGTTGTACTTTTTACCTGAAATGTAACAGATGTTAAAATGTTTGTAGGTTATTCATGATATAAGATGTTTGGAGGAGCTGGTCCGTGGTGATTACCTGCAACATGTGCTTCAGCTTTTGTCTTTGTGCTCCCCTGATGTTCTTGAATCAGTAAGACAGAGCATCTTACAGGGTGGTCAATCATTGAAATCTTTAGAACCTTTAGTCATCAAAGCAGTGGTGGAGTCGCTAGTTGAAAAATCAGTTGAGGTGGGTTGTAGTCTATCAGGTCTATTATTCAAATTGGTTGAATAATTCAGATCTAGTGGTGCGTACAACTATATATACATTTGGAATTGTCTAGATCTTTTTTCCTTTGTTTTTCTCCCCTTCTCAATTCATTCATTTCTTTCACTTGTTCAAAAATAATTTAGGACTTGAGACAAATGAAGGGGATAACAGCAACCTATAGGATGACTAATAAACCTCTACCTGTGAGGCATTCGCCATATGTTTCAGGGGTACTACGTCCCCTTAAGGTATGCAATATCAATTATTATGGTTTATTTTAATTTTTCCTTGCTTCCTTCTTATCTTGGGTAGCTTGATTTCAAGCCAATGTAATGGTGATATATTTATAGTGGATTTGGATATATGCTAAACTGAGATGTGCAAAGTGACAGAAGTGAAGGTATATCCACTGTTAGAGTATCTTAAAGTTTTTTATATACTTAAATTCCAAATTAATGGTGGATTCATGTTTACATTCTCGCTTTACTGATCTTATTTTTGAGAAGTTAAATCCTTTTTTGGTAGAATGTATAGTCTGATAGCATGATAATAGGACAATCTTTAAAATTTTGTGGGTTTGATATTTTATGCTTTAAACATCTCTTCGTGTAATGCTAGTCACTTTTCAGTTCTCATTGGTACCAGTTATCTGAAACTAGTGAAACTACGCTCATGCAAATTTAGTCTTAATCTGATTGTGGTGGTTGGCATTTATGATTTTTGTGCCCAATTTTAAGCCCTCTTTTGTTGTCTTATGTCTTGGATTCCAGACCCTGTTCCAATATCGGTACACAACCCGGTTAGGGTAGATGCAAAGAATGAATACCCTAGATATTTGAGAGTTCCATGAACTCCCTCAAGTGCCCACTATTAATGCAATCCCCCCCCCTCCCCCTCCCCCTCCCCCACCCTTCATTTCTCTTATTTTTATTATTCTCTAGCAAAGTCCCTAACTAATGGGGTTCCCTACTAACAAACAGTAACTGCTGCTAGTTTTCATTCCTCGTTACAGAGGTTATTATTCCCTGCATTCCTCCTCACTCTCCTTTGATATGCCTGCCTATACATACCCATCACTGGAATTGACATATGCTAAAAAGAATGGAAAGGTTACATAGATTACCCCTCTTCAAAATAAATCCAAAAGGTTAAGATGAAGTATGAACCTGAACCTGTCAATATTTTTGGGTTATGTATAATTTGTAAGAAATAGTTTTTTACTTTCACTTAGAGCGTTAGACCTAAAAGCATTAGTGTGTTGATGACATGCCAAAACATTCATCACAGGCTTTTTTGGATGGGGAGAGAGCTACAAGATATTTGGCCAATGAAACTAGGAATGAAATACTCCTCTGGGCTGCTACTGAGATTACTGACCGTTATTATGAATTAGCTGCTGACCTTGTTAGCGTGGTAAGTGTCCAAGTCCAAATTGCATTGATGCGAATTTTTAGATCTCGTGGATTCCATGTTAGAAATTGTTTTAATAAACTTTTCATGAGCAGGCACGAAAGACGGAGTCTTCACTCCAGAAAATTAGGCAGAGTGCACAAAGACGAGCTGGAGCAAGTTCAGATATCTCAGATAATAATGTGTCTGACACTGATAAAATCTGCATGCAGTTGTTCCTTGATATTCAGGTTGGCATGATTCTCATTACTACCATTACTAGTGTGATCTTTCTCACTTTTGCACGACACAATACACTATTTGATTGTCCAGCAAACTCTGACTGCTTTCATTTACATAATCTTCGTCTTGCAAATTGTTGTCAGGAGTATGCCCGTAACCTATCCGCACTAGGGGTTGAAGCAGTTAATATTGCATCCTACCGTTCATTGTGGCATTGTGTGGCTCCTGCAGATAGACAAAACACTATTAATCTCTAAGAGTTTGCACCTGTGGAGTAAATGCGGCATGTAGATTGCTTTCTTCCTTGGTCAAGAGTTTCTTTTGTAATTTATTTATGAAATCCATAATACGCAAATTTGTTGGCTTTACACAATAATCACAGGTTATCTTGGTTCTTAAAGGGAAGAAAAAAAAATATTTTGTTCATTACTGTTGTGTTATCTTTTAAGGTTCTCCATTATCACTGCGATAAAAGATGTATGATATTCTTTGCGGCTTTGCTTCTTATCATTCATTCTTTTAAATTGCTGGTGCAAACTTACGGCCAATTGACGGTCTGAAAGATCGAAATATGTTGTATATCCTAAATGTTTGTTTGCCATTTGGTTACAGCCCGTAATGCAATCCTCCAAGTACAAGAATAAATTAAAATTTTAAGATGTGTGACATTCTTTGTTGTATCTTTCTTATAATGGTTGTATAACGATTTCTCCGGTCAGATAATAGGAAATTGAAAAGTATATGGGAATCAGTTAGACGGAATCCTATCGTGACAAAATTAAAATGGCAAGTTTAGCTCAGGGAGTAGAACCAAATCGTAAAGTTTGATATTGGAAGTATGATGTCTTTTCAAAAAGCAGCGTGTATCGCCCTTCCGTAGTGTCCGATAACGCAAATATAAAAGACTAAAATTCTTAATTTAATTTATTAATGTTATACTGTCAAAGTTTTATTAGATTCTAACCTTTTTTCGCATTTGCGATTTAAACTTCATCATTTCAGTATATTATCAAGTCAACGCCCTTAAGATTACTTAAAACAAAGGTTGGCATGAATCTCGTGGTTTTTGCATTTGATAGATATTGTTCATTTTTCACCTGAGATAGATGACGGGTAGGAAAGGAACTCTACTGCCCGCAAAAATAAGTATGAAAAGCAGTTCTCGGTGACCTAAACACTGTGACACCCTAAAAATCATCCCCTAAAATTATCTTGAAGCATGGGGAGAGTGGGGGTATCCAATCAGAGTTACGACACAAAATTGAGAACATTATTGAAAAAGTAAGTTGTTAAGAGTTTACAATAGTTAAAATTGTCAAAATTCATCAACTCAAATTAAGATTGGGGTTCAAAAGTGAAAGAAAAAATAAATTCAACCGGGTACATATTTGATTTGAGATTTAGATAAGATAGTAAGTACAGTTATGAGCCTTTTTAGCTGCTGTGGAAACAGAAGCGAAGCTGTGAAACATATATAAAGTGATTCGCGACCAAGATCAAGTTCCAATTGGATAATAAAGCCGAACTTCTTCCACAATGTGTGGTTGCTCATGATTATAATCGTTTTACTGGTCATATAATTTCAACATCTCGTCTTTTTGTTTCCCTTGTAATCTTTTTGTTTTGCTTTCAAACTAGGAATCATCCGTACCGAAGTAGCGGTCCCCAAATTCTCCTAACCCTGGTATGACACGGAACTGGTCATTTAATCCTTCCTCAATCTCCGATGTGACAATTTTCAGATGCGGAAAACGTTTACATACACAATGTATTCCCTCGGGAGCCTGAAATGAGTTTTGAAATTTATTGCTCAGATATAGGGTCTTACCAGTATTCAATTGAATATAACTAACTTACTGAAATGAGGTTAAGGAATATTATCCGAGATTCTGGAACTCCCTTCTTTAAAAGAAGCTCGATTGCTTGGCTGGCAGAGTTACCTGGATAAATCAAGAAGGTTCTTATTGCCACCCGAAAGAAGAGGCGGTGTCATACATAAATGACAAAAAAAAAGTAAATGAAGAATTTGGTGGACCGAATCTTCGTAACTCAACAACGGTGTAATGTGAAACTATAATTTTGTAATGGGATTTGGACTGAAAGATCAATCCTATCGTGGAAATTTGGAAGACATAATTAACAAAATAATTTGTTAGCATTAAGAAGTTTGATGTATAAACGAAGAGCGAACATTATGCATGCAAAAAGATAATAGCTCACCTGTACCAAGTACTGGATCCATGAGAAGAACATGTCTCTCTGAAATATCTTTTGGAAGCTTCTCATAGATAAGCTAATGGAGTCGAAAACATTGTGATAGTTACATGTGCAGAGTTGTATCTTCTATCATCTTACTCAGAAATCTAAAATATTCAAGAAAGAAGTAGCAGACCTGGGTTTCGTCACCTTCACGGTGGATAAGAATTTTTCCAATCTTTATTCCTTTACAGCAAGCACGCAAAGCGTTTTCCATGCTTTCGCCGCTGAAACATTACAAGGGTTAACTTTCATAGAGTTCCAAATTTACCGTCTTTTTTTTTTGTTTAATAAAACGGCTGAACTAATGTAAACTTTTAAAACAATCCAGCTTCGAATTCCCAAGAAGACACAAACACGCATTCCCCATATGAAATTAGAAGTTTGTTTCCCAACAATAAGATTAGAACATTTGATACATTCAGTCTTAAAATAAAATGACAAAGGAATATGAACAATTAGTCTACAAAGAAATATGCTGACAGCAAAGCTTTTGAACAAGTAAAGTTACCTTCGAATAACGGATACTCCACACAATTTCTTACAAAAATCAACTCCGGTATAAATTGACCCTGAAATGCAATAACAAGACAAATTTGCCGGGTCTTTGTGTATTCATGTACATATAAAGCATGAATAAATGAAACACTGCCTGGCAGATCAAACAATGGAATGATATTTCCTCTTCTTTAGACAGACCTGTAGGTGTGATAACTTGTTTCTCTGTAAACGGCAAGTAACCAAGACCATGTTCCACTACCTGTGAAGTGAGTGATACTAGGTTAGTTTCGTGATAGGGATTATAAATCCTGTATAAAGCTCAAAGCAATTGTACCAAACGAATTAGCCGATCTGAATAAAATACAAAATCATGCTTTGATATGTCCCTGTCACGAATAAGAGTGTGCATGCCTCTGGTCTGTAAGAAAGCTTCAAAATTAGAAATAAGCATAAGAAATATTTCCTTGGGGGAAAGAAACCAACAGAAAATTTAAGAGGGGAAGATGAAGCAAGATGAAAATCACCTGGAAAGTAGACTGTATAACGTTCAAATTCGGATATATTTTGCAGAGGTTATGCTGGCCGAGCTTAGTGCGGATATGTTGAACAATCAAGTCAATTGCCACACGATTCTCTCCCCCGCGAGGTATGATGATGTCAGCATACTTTTTGGATGGAAGAATAAAATCATCGAAGGCAGGCTTAACGAATTTGGCATACTGGAAGTTCAACAAAGGTTTTCCATATCAGGCACCAAATTCTACGTATTGTTCGACAATCAGAAATTAGTGTTAAACAACTACTCATATTACTAAAGTGTTACATGCGGGCTATGATGGTAGCATTGCACCAATGAGATTCAATCCATTAAGTTCGAAGTTACTGCTCTCCAATAACTACTCATATTAGCATATTGTTTTCTAGCCTTCCGTCATCCTAAAGCAAAGATATAGAACCCCATTACAAGACAGCAAAACCTTTATGCCCAAACAAAAAAAATGCCCTTTTTGTGTAAGAAGAAAAACCATTTGAAAAAGAAAGACAAGATCATAATCCAACAATTTCAGGCATACGTTGGTTGCATAATATATTACAAGCCGATTTTCACTCAAATCATTGTACCGGACACCGGTTTCACCACACACAATAGAATACGCAGTGGGAGCATAATTTATTTATTATCGATCTAAATTTAAAAAAAAAATGTTTTATGTTATCGTCTTACCAATTCTAAGATATCGATATAAATAAACTACTAGTTTTCATAAATGGCAATCCAAATTCCCGAGTTTCTGACATCTTTTAAGTCTGACGAAGTTAATGTACATAAAGAATACAAGCCTTGCCTGTTCCAACACAGAGTGCACATCTCTACCCCGCTCAACAGTATCACGTCTTATTCTGCGGGCAAGCCTTACATCTGGATCTACATAACATGTATCGCAATATCAGCATATTCACCGACAATTTGAATAGAGACCATTTTCTTAGAAAAAATGTCGCCATCTATCATCTCGAAATATTTACTGATGAGGAGAAACTTCCAGGGATGATCAAGATCTTTGGACGGACATACAGAGCATTGAACGAACTCTCCTTATTGTAGTACATCATAGTTATGTAGGGAACTCTTTCAACATGAATGACGGTTAGAAGAGTAACATGGTTTGCCTTAAGCCTTAACAACTCCCTTTCTAACACACTTGAAGACAGATACGCGAATAGGATGCATTGATCCAGAGACAGGTTCATGATGTTCAGGAAAGTAAAACACAGCAATTTATATTACCTCAATTTATCAAGAAGCTTGTCTAGCATACTTAAGTGAAAATAATGTTAAAATTTTTAAAAGGCTGGACACCATTATACCTACCTATAGTTCATAATTTATGACCAGGTTTGATAATTTCTAGCAATAGTAGATATTTGTAAAAATCAAGTGGTCACTTGATTGATTTTCTCTATTCTAGGTCAGCAAATGGGTAAACAGAACTGGGGAGGAGAATTCAATTAATCTGTCGTTGTCTTCTCAGCATCAAGTTCAGCTGAGACAGTAGACTCATCCAAAACGAAGGTCGATAGAGAACTCAAGCGATTGTAACAGTTCAACCCTTTCTGTACGGGGGTTTGATAGTTGTATTCCATGGATCTCACCTAATAGACTGAAGACAGAACAAGGCATAGCGAAATGATATATGCTAGACCTCACTAAGTACAGTATGTACCATTTTTTCGCTTGACTCCAAACCACCTCTTTCCCTCATGATAAACAAAACTTAATACATTTTAACTTATTTAACCAGTTATTGATGGGGAAAAAGCTTGAAACGATAAACAAAATGGAAGACCAATAGACCTGCATCAACAAATATCTTCATATTCATCATGTTGCGGACACTTTGTTCGTGGAAAACCAATATGCCCTCTAGAATGATTACTTCAGATGCATTGACCTGCCAAATGGTATGGATTAGAAAGTTGTACCCTTTTCTTCTTCTGAATGAAAAAACAAATATAATTTCAGGTATGATTAGATAGATATGCAGGTAAAAAAAAAACTACACGACATAGAATGTTGGCTCTCTAGGAGCTCTGTAACTACAGATTATCTAATTACTGGCATAAACGAAAAGATTGAATCTGAGCTACAAATCTGAGAACAACCGAGACTAACACCCCCATTTTAGCTTAACGTCTCAGAAGGGAACCTGTCGGGATCTGTCTGAAGATCTCTGATGGAGCTTAAAATCATATATTGGAACCTGAACCGATTGTCCAGATTTGAGCTTACCGAGGGTTTCTACAAGTTGCTCTGTGTCGAATGCATCTATGAAAATCAAAACACATTGTTAGAATCCTAAAAGATTTATTCGAACATCACAGAAGTGCCAATGGTTGTGCGTGTTCCTAATAATTAACGTTCGAGTTCCATACCAGGATGATCAAAATTATATTCATGAACGCGTTTCAACTCATCATTTGTCAAACCCCGGTAGAACGAATCCTACAATAATAATAACAGATTATTACTCAAGTTACTAGTAATTAATGTGAAATTATTTCTATTGACTTTTAGATTAAGCATAATGCAATTAACTCAGTTGCAATTACAAAGAAGAAATTCAACGATTTCTTCATGATCCTTTATGATCCAAATCAATACCACCAGAAGATTAGAACTAGAAAATCGCAGTGACCTGACTGACAAGTACAACTCTGTGATCTTGCAGTTGCTGAATGATCAAATCACACACTGTGGTTTTCCCCGATGCAGTACCTCCAGAGACCCCTGATCCACGAACGCGAATCGAATCGAAGCACACACAAACAACACATGCCGTTAGATTCCTCCCGACGAGAAAATGCAGGTAAATAATTACAATTAAGGTTTCGATATTCTTCTCTCCGCGGAAGAAGAGGAGTGAACAGAAGAATGTGTGTCCAATCATAATATTCAAGAGAAATGAAAATATTTTGAATTCTATTTGGTTTCCAAGAAAGTGAAGTGTTGTATTGAATTTTCTAGGAAAACTAAGGGATTGAAGAAAGCAAGGTAAACGAAGGAAGAAATAAGAAGAATGATTATATATATACATATACCGATGACGAAAGGGTGACGTGAGGGTGTTGGAGAAGAAGAAGAAGTCGTTGAAGGATGCCAACCAGAGAAGTGCGCACCGGAGAGAACCTCTATTACAACATCCATTGCCACACAAACGCGCCTCTGCTTTCTCCTTCTAATGCTCTTATATACGTATGCGTTTCCACCTTTCTTCACTCTCTCGCCACTCACATCACAACTCCACCGCATTAATTTTTTAATACTCTGTTTAGACAGGTTTTATTAACCTGTTTTGACATTTTACTAAAACTTATAGTAAAATATTATATAACTTTTAATCAAAAAATATTATATTGAAATTGTTATGATGTAGAATTAAAAAACGAAAAAACTGATATATATACATAGTCATCAGCAACAGCTCATGTAAGTTCACATATTGGTGCGTCACATGCAAGCAAATTTTTGAGTTATAACATATTTTTCAGATATTTATAGTTGAACCGGATTCTTCTTGACATTTAGATAGAAAGTACAGCATAAAGCAAAAAATAATTTCAAGATCGGTTCTAGGTTATGGTATTTCTATCTCTTTTCATTTTATGTTAATAAAATAGTAAGAAGGAGATGACACCTTAAATTCCATAGAATAGAGCACCAATTGAAAGACAAAATAAATAAAAAAATATACTAACTCAGACGATTATTATATGAGCCTAAATTGCAACCTTACTCACTCCCACGACCTATTCAACTATCCTTTGAGCGCTACTGGAGCTCTCCAAAGAAAGATACTCGCCGAGTAGGATTTTCAACGACTCTAAGAAATCACTCAAATTGTACCAAATATAATACTAATATATTTTTATTAATAAATTTTATGTATTCAATAAAAAAAAGTAACCTATTTTTATAGAAAGTGGAGATGCCTCAATATTACAAATTCAATTTAATGGTTACATATTAAAAAAAACTGAATATATATATATATATATATATATATATACATATGTATATCACTTTAAATTTTTTCTTATCAAAATAATTTTCAAAAGATACAAAATATATATTCTTTAAAATTTTCAAGTTTTAATTTATCATCAGTATAACTCTTCATAAAAATGACATTTATAATATTTTAAGCTTAAAAAAACTAACTTGATTTTAAAATGATGAGGTATATTATTTTTTAAAAATTATTTTGATAACACAAATTTAAAATTAAAGTAATACTACCGTGACCTTCGGAAGAACAAGTAAAAAAGTGATTAAAAGTTTAAAACACCAGTGTGTCTAACATAAGCTATAGGTATTTTTATGGGTAATAATTCAAAAAAAAAAAAAGATCATGTAGTGTTTAAATTATAATTAATCATTAAAAAAACTGTAGAAATTTTTATGGGTAATAATTGAAACTAATTTTTTTTAATTCATAACCTCAGTCTTATGAATTATAATTAATCCTTCAAACTATGTCTCTTTGGTCATCACACAAGTCTTTCGTAGTTAAGAAATAATTTGATGAAATTTTATATATCTTTTTAAAGAAATTCAGTATCATCAAACTAGAATTTCAAAATTTTTACTTTTAAATTATTTTAATGATTTATAAAGATTAATATAGTTATTGATTACATTTTTGAAAGACTACTATGGCAATGAAGTATTTAGTTGATTATATTGATTTTATTTTTTTTTATCTAAACTGAATGTGCATAAATTCGAACCCTTTTTTAAAAACGATTTGATGATTATGATGACATTTAAATGTATGGATTTGACTGCTTACGTTTTGTAAGAAAAAATTAATGCAGAGTAATTACAAATAATCATTGATTAAAAATATAATAATTAATATTTAAATAATTTTATCATTTATTCTCTTTGTGTATGTAATTAATCACCACTTCAACTATTGATTAAAAAATAATAACTACTGTGACATTTTAATTTTTATCCTCTAAAATATACTTTGCACCTTAGTTAGAGGAGACAAATTATAAACTTTATTGTAAAAAAAATCATAAACTTTAAACAACCACTCTTCACGATAATTAATTGAGGCACATTATGAAACAAAAATGTATATAATTATTAGCAATTGTTTTTGTTACATTATACACATTTTTTAAATTCAAATAAATTGTAAAATAAAATATGTAAGAGATAAAAAAACATTGTTGAATAACAGTGGAATATGAATATTTAAGAAAGAAGGAAACATAACATAATATAATATAATATATGATATAAATATTTTTAATAATAAAAAATCATTTTATTATATATGAATAAGTTGGATAATTAAAGCATTTGAAACTCAGAAAGATTTTATAAAAACTTGTTGTCTCAATCGAAATTTTTTAACTTTATGTCTATTAATTTTATATGGCAAGTTAAAATTTAAATTATTAGGGTTGATTAAATTTAAGTAATAGTATTTGAGAGAAAAATATAAAAAAAAAACGTGAGATATGTGATGTAAGATTATATACGTGGCGTAATAAAAAAAACAACTTTTAAAATCCTTTAATTTAAGTGTAAGCGTTTATATTTGAAATATGGGCATTAGATGTGTAATTTTTTTTATTTTTGAAAATTATTTTCCGTAGAAATTATATTTTATAAAAATGATAATTTTTGAAATATTATAAATGTATTTATATGTTTAAAATGCTTTAAAAATATTATATAAGTTTGATTTTTTTTATCTTTTTAAGAATTTTATATTATTCTTTTAAAAGCACCGTAGAAAAAAAAATGGTCAAATTATCCTGCGGCCCTCGAAACCCCTTACAGAAAATCGCATTCAAAGTAAAGTAAAAAAATAGGATCCGATTCCCTCATGTTCAAAATCCAACAAGAGTCAAGTTGGTATAAAAAGCGAGCGTATAAAATTACACCAACATGATTTTTTTGTTAGATTTTAAACATGAGGGGATCCTTTTCCGAAAAAACAAACGTTGATTCTTCAATTTATTCGTACAAAGCCATTAATTCTGTGGAACAGTAATTGTTCCAGTTTTGCTTTGCTTTTTCCACAAGAAAAGACAATTTCAGTAAAGATTACAGTATTATTGGAATAATAGAATCTGATGCCTATCATTCACACGGTTCTCGTTATAACTTATAGGTGAAGTGATCCTGCAATAGTTGGGGTCCTTGCTCTACAAGATGTGCCAAAATTTGACGCATTACTTTTAACCAAGCTGTTATTCCATACAATATTTCTTTATTATCGAAAGCAATTTACAGATCAATGAATTGTTTCAATTAACAAAAAGAATAAATTGAATTAGGCATAATGTACAAATAAATCAACCAAACCCACCAAACAAGCGCCAGAATCAATGTACAAGTAGCATCACTTCATCATAATTTTGAACTCTTCAAAGCTAAGCAAGCCATCCCCATTCAAATCAAACCGATGGATCATCGCTTTGCATTCCTCAGTGGATTTAGATTCCCCCAACCTCTTCAACATCCTTTTCAAGCTCTTGGGGGTTATGAACCCACACTTCTCAGTGTCATACATATCAAAAGCTTCCCTCAAATCCTTCAACTTCTCTTCCTCTTCCCCAGCCTCCATCAGCTTCATCAAATCTTCCAAACACAGCAACCCATCATCGTCTGAATCCATTGCCTCAATAACCATTTCCACATCTTTCAACAGAAGCTCTCCACCCATCATGCCTAATCGGTTCCTTAGCTCAGAGGGTGAAATCTTCCCATCCCCATCTTCATCAAAGTATCTAAGAACACCCTCAAATCCTTCATCTCTCCTCATGTCACAAGACAAGACACCGAGCAACCTTAAAAATAGGAAATTTGTTGCTTGCTACAAACACGTGCTTAAGTTATAATCACCGAGGATCAAACTTATATAGAAACAGGAGGAACTAGTTTTATGTGCGTTGTCTGATTGCATGAAACACTGGGTGGGTTTTGTTTATATTATGCGAAGTTTACGTGTAAGTGGCGTGTTAATTAATGGGGTGAGGGGTGGGTGGGTGCAAGTTGCCGAGAGTGTTCGAGGAAGAAGAAGAAGAAGAACATGGCAGGGACGTCACGCCATATGTATAAGTTGAGGGTTCAATTGGGCGAAGACTAAGAGGAGTTAATGAATGGATAACGCGGACCCATGCTAGGACTTCAAAGTTCAAACCAACTAGAACAACCAGCGGTTAGGTCAAAGGGCTCGTGAATTCAGAATTACTATTATTTTAATATTTTATATATAATGTATTGGCTTAGTCACCCAATGAACATCCAAGACGTGTCCGCGGCTAGGTGCCAGCCAGGTCACACGGTGGCTACACTTCCACTACATTCTCCATGTTTATCCGTGCAGAAGTAGTGTGATGCGTTGATGACTGGTTAATTTTTCGTTAACGATAATTATTAAATTAAAATATTTTTAATATTAAATTAAAAGTATATTATATAATTATATTTAGTTTAATATTTTTTATAAAATTGGCACAACATTTTAAAATTAAATAATAAAGGAAAAAAATTATATTATAACTCTGATGTATATCTTCTCTTATTTTTTAGATTAGGTAGATGTGTGAACGAATTAAGTTATGCATAAATTATTTGAAATAATATTTAATTATTATATATATAATAATAAAATTATAAATTTATCTTAAATTATTATTACATCATTTTATTTTATATTTAAATATTGGTATTCTTCTTTTGTTTTTTATTATTTTAACTCCATCCTTTGACGTAAAATATATCTAATAAAGTGTTTAATTAATAAACTTTAAAATTAAATGACTTATAATTGATTTAAATAAAATAAATTTTATATATTTCTAATAAACTATGCTAAGCTTAAAAATTGTTTTTTTAAATTAAACTTAATAGTTCAATTGATTTGCATTCCTAATAGCAAAATATGATTACATTGAAGAAAAACAACTATAAAAAAAGTCAATATAAATAATAAATTTTACAACTAATTAATAATGTATATTTTTATTTTTGTTCAACACAACCATCATGTTAACAGAAGAAAATAAAATAATCTAAATCCTTCTGACTTCTTCTGCGTACTTTTGTTCTGCCTTATTATCCCATTCAAATGACGTTATAGAAATATGTGATCATCGTGATGGGGGGCTGTGAGACCCAACCGCTCCTTCAAACAAGTTCAGTATATACAGCATTTCCAAAGTCAAACAAGAGTCGTCATTAATTCAAAATTGTCTAGTTTATATATATATATAAGAAAAGTATTTTTTATATATATGAATTTATATATAATAACAAAAATTAGTTTGAATAACAAACAATTTAATATTATTTAAGTAAGATTTTAGATCACTTATTTATTATGTCTAGATGTGTCACTAAAGTTAAATTTATCTTATAACGGATAAGAAACTAAAAAAAATTAAATTTATAAAAAAATTGTTATATATATATATATATATATATATGATAATTTATTAATAAATATTACGCGCATTCAGATAGGACCAGGCAAAACAAAGTCAGGTAAAACAATTTCTGAAATCAGCAAACTAATATTGAATTATAAATTTTGTCAACAAGAATCTTCATCGATAACGTATGTTTACTCGAAATTTCAGATTATTTCTATTGTAACCAATTATTGTTACATATTACAGATTTATAATTAGTTTTGGTAAAAAATTAACGATTAAATTTTAATAATTTTATGATTTATATACATGTGCATAATTTTAACACAATTTTAATCATAGATCATTTGTAATTACATGACCATTTTATAAATTATAATTTATAACCTAAATGCATTCTATAATACCTCTTACAAAAATAAAGTTATGATTATTTTATGTATATAAAACTATAAAATATTTTTTTATTTTGTACTGTAGAATTTACCAATAATATTTTTTTATTCTTTAACCTGTATTATTAATTAAGATATTGATTAATATTTATATAAATAAAAAAATATATTTTAAATAATATATAATATATTAAAATAAGCTAAAGTTGATAAAATATTAATTGATTTTTTAACTATAAAAAATTACAAGCCTAGTTTATTTACAAAAAGAACATTAACAGTTAGATTAATATTTCCGTCAAAAAATTATTTTACCAATATTTGACATCCAATATGTTTAATATTACTTATATATAAAATTAGTGACAAAACTTACCTGAAGTTCAACCGGTGCGCGTTGTTCTTTTGCAATCAAAATCATATTATTATTATTATAACATTACCTTCTAACCTTTTCAATGCAAATTTAGTTTTAATAATTATTAATATAAAAATTTATACTACTAATATAAAGTTATTTGAGTTCTTTTTTCATTAATGTTTATACTACTAGTGTTGATTTTTATCTCTATTTTCAATTCTTCCTCAAGAAATATTTTAGCCAAATTTTTATGAAAAAAAATTCCAACCTTTTATATCGTAAAATAGTACTTCATTATTTTGATTTCTTTTAAATTTTAAGTTATGATTTTGAATAAAATTAGTTTGTAATGACTACATTAAAAATATGTTAATTTTGTTATTTTTTAATTCTTTCTTCTATCATCAGCACCACCTAAATTTCAACAAATGAATACCAATTTATCCACCACATGATCAAAATTAATATGAGATCATATTATAAAACATAGAAAATGAAAACTTAAATGTATTTAAAGTCATTAATAGGAGATTTTATAACTTCTAGTGTATTTACAATTTTTTATAAAAAAATATATTTATTGATGTTTTCTTCCTTCTTTAGTATTCTTTGAGTTATGAACATGATAAATTGATCTTAACTTTTGTCATGATAACAAAATATAATTCTACATTTTTTATAAATTTAAAATGAAAACTCGCATCCTACTATCTTAGAGTGGATATTAGGTGACATGGAGGCTAAAAGTCAAGTAAAGATTAATTTGTCTTATTGCTCCTAACTGAAATAAAAATTATTATTTTTACTTTCTCTCAAATTTTTTTATTTTTGTGTAGTTAAGTGTTTTAATGAAAGAGTAAACCTCCCGTTCAATCCGCAAAATTCAAACGTTATACATCTGATTTGAGTTCTGAGTCGAATTACTTCGAGTTTATTTTATTTTTTCTAATCACAGATTTGTATATTGTAATCGTAATTAACTTTTTTGTGGTTAGAATTCAAATTAAAATTTGATTGATATTCTAATTTGATAATTAATTCGGGTTAGGTTAAATGATAACTTGATTTAATCTGTGATTTAGTGCAATTAGGTTATTAAATTGAATTAATAATTGAATTAAATAAACGTTTAAACTCGGATTAAAATCTTTAAATATTGTAATAATCAGAGTTACACGCATTTAATATTCTGTGGATTGATATTTTTTAATTCATTTTTAGTCAATTTTATTTTGTTCATAATTTAATTTAAGTAATTTGTAATTTTTAAAACTCCCAAAAGTTTATGCATTTTCTTTAAAATAAAACCTAAAATTAAATTTAACTAAAAATATGTCTATGTGAATAGACCTAAATTTAGCCTTATACTACAAAATTTTTAAAAAACTTAGTTGTTTTGATAGTAATTTAACATCGTTTATCACTCTTCAACTCAGATATTCTCATTAGTTGTTTTGATTGTTGTATCATCTTTTGTGTAATACTTTTTTGACATTATATCATTTGTAATTTTTGACATGAACTTTTGAAGTTGTATCCTTTATGTTTATAGTTTTTAAATAAAAAATTTGTCATCATCCAATTTGATTGATATTAGTGTTGATATTGTTTGAGTGATAGGATGTAAAACTATGGTTGTACTCGATCTAAATTCTAATACCATAAATGTACGTGATTGGTGATTATAGAAAAAAAAAATTAAAAACAAGCAAAAGCATGTCTTGAATTGTTATTACTTGCCCTTTTCAATACAAAAAATGATACACACGTCTAATGTGTGTCAACAACTAATAATTTAAAATTAACTATAACATTTTAAATTTTGTTTTGATGAATTTATCCTTTAAGTTATCGTAAAGATCATCTCAAAAAAAAAATATCATTTTTTAAATTTATTTATTTGAATTATCTAATATTTACGGTAAATTTTTTTGATATTTCATTATGTCAACTTAATAATACATGATTTATATTTATAAAAAAAACATATTTTTAAACTTTACAGAATATATTATCGCAGCTTGTCATTTTATTAAAATTAGATTTAATTATAATTTAGTCCATATAAAGTAACACACAAAAATTATTAAAATTTAAAGTATGTTTATTTGTATTTTTTAAAAGAGCTTTTTCTTATATTTTAAGAATTAAAAATTAATTTCCGTTGTTAATTTCTTTTTATTAAATGATAGGCTGATGCACAACCTGTTACTATCACGTCATTTATTTTTTAAAATTTTATTATATAAAATTAATATTTATAAATAAAGATTTAAATAAATTTGATTAAGATTAAAGATAAATAATTAATAATAATAAAATTTTATTAAAAAATATTTATTACATTTTTATAATTTTAATATAATAATTATACACTTATTTTATAAAAATAAAAATAAAATTTTCTTAAATTTTCCTATTAAAACGAGGTTAACAAAACTTTTTTACATCATTCCCATTTTTAGGCATTATGAGTGACTCTACATTTGGCCCAACTGCCTTCGTCTTCATTTCCTCAACTGACCTATACGCCTGTACTTCCCTGCAACCCAAAACACCCATCAATCAAAGTGTTAGAGCTAACAACATCATCCATCACTTTCAAACTCTCCATCCCATCCCTAAGCCTCATAGCCTCATCAATCTTCCCCTCATCACACAACCCCCTCAACATCATATGATAAGTCCAAACATCAAGCAACAAGCCATTTCTGGTCATCAACTCAACAACCTCAGAAGCCTCCTTCAACATGTAATACCCACGAACCAATATATTACAGGTAGTCTAATCGGGAATCAAGCCACTATTCTTCATCTCCTGCAACACTTCCCTCACCTTATTCAACTGACCCTTCTTACACAATGCATTCAAAAGAGTATTAAAAGCAGCCAAACTCAACCATTCGATTCCTCAAAGCAAGAGCATCATGGAGCCGATTCTCAGAGAATACTCGTACATCAAAATGCAGAAGGTGTTGGTGTTGGGTTTGATACCAAGCTTAATAGCATCATGGAAAACCTGGGAGGAGATGAGAATGGAGTGAGAGGAAGGGAAGGAGGAGCGAACGAGGGATTTAAGAAAGGTATTGCAAATGAGAAGATTGGGAGCAAAATGAAATCATTTCATCTTTTTGAAAAGTTGAAAAGCGATGTGGGGTGGTTTGGCGTGAACATAAGCGGCGAGGGAAATGTCGAGGACGGTTTTGGAGAAGGAGTGGACAGAGGAGGAAGCGGTGGAGGGAGGGGCGGCAATCGGAAGAGATGAAGGAAAGGAGAAGGTTCTTGGAGTCGGAGAATTTGCGGAGGGAGAAGAGAGGAGAGAGAAGAGTGAGGAGCGGGAATAGGGAGCCTTAGTTCGGAACCAATTGAAGAAAGAGATGAGAGTTTTAGGGTGTGAGTGAAGGGGCTTCCATGAGAGGAGGGGAGTTTAGCCAAGTGCCAGTCATGATATAATGGTTTACTGATTTTACAAGGACGGTAAGATTGAAGGAACACGGAGAAGAAGGGCTCTCATCAAAATTGAGACGTTATTTTATAGTCATTTATAGATTAACATAGCAATTCTTAGTGTTTTAAGAATTAAAAAGTATTTATTTATTTTTAACTAAATTATTAATTATATTATTTATTAGCAATTGTTTTAATATAAGAGAATACTAATTCTCTTAATTACAAAAATCATAGTAGATTTTATTTTTTTAAATATTTAAAAAGTATTTAAAGATTTACTTATAAATATTAATTTTAAATAATAAAATATTAAAATAATTAAATGATATGTTAATAATGTAAAAGTGATAAATTAAAATTTTATGACTAGTGATAGAAAGAAAATAACGATAAATATTAAATAATAACTTAAAAAATTTAAATTTAAATTTAAATAAAAAATTTAAAAACTTATCTAAAGAATGCTATTTTTATAAAGATAAGAAATGTAATTAAACTTTAAAATTATAATACCAAATGTATGAATATTTTTTATTATAAAATAAAACTAATAAAAACTATTGTACAACTGCACAAGGAAAGAAAAAAGAAAGGTACATTTTTTAAATTGGGCTGAGTTTTGGACATCATTCAGCCCCATGTTAGTTTTATTTCGCAAATAAAAGGATCGCGTTAGCAAGTCAATAAGCAGAGCTAATGTCATGTTGAGTAAAAAGTACGTATTTTTTCCGACAATTATCAATTTGATATAAAAGTTTTTATTAGTTTTATTTTATAACAAAAAATATCCAGATATATTTAGTATTATAATTTTAATGAAATGATAAGGTTGGAGAATATATTCCATAAAGCTTAAAAATATTTTTTCTTATGAACATGAATTATGTATTATTAAGTTGTCACGATGAGAAACTGAAAAAAAATTTGGTAAAATTTTAAATAATTCAAACATGTAGGTATGAAAGATGGCATTTTTTTCTTCTTCTTAAATTTAGGGTCTTTGCAAGAATTTAAAGGTAAGTTCAGCAAAATAATTGTCCAAAAAATAAGTAATTTTACTAAAAAATATTGACTTGCCAATGTGATCTTTTTATTTGCAAAATAAAACTAACACAATGCCACAACATATGGGGCAGAATGATGTCCAAAACTCAACCCAATTTTGAAAACTTACATATTTTTTCTTCTTTCATTTGTACAGTTGTACAAGCCAACGCCATTGAAGACAAGCCTTCAGAATAAATGATGAAACTTGGACATCAAGAACTTGATAGGTAGCACTAAATCGTGGTTCTACAATTCTCATGTTTATTCAATATCGACAATTTTCTTCCTTTACAAATATATTTTTTTATGTAGAATAAAAGAGTTTGTATATTATATTCCTTTCATATGTAGAAACTATTGAATTCTTCGATGCTTATTTGATTGGGATTATTTATAAGGAAATAAAAATTGAAAAAGAATAATCCAAAAATACCCCAAAAAAATAAACCGATGAAGATATAAATAAATAAAAAGTTGAGAGTGAAAGAATCTTCAATCCTGCAAGATGAAGAGTATGCTTGATTTCTCTTTTAAAAAGAGTTTTCTATTTTTTTTTCTAAATATAGTATAAATTTATACTACATTTAAAAAAATAAATAAATAACTCTTTTTAAAAAAGAAATCAAGCATACTCTAACTTTTTGAAATTAGTTACAACCATAAACATTGATTAAAAATTAATGATTAATGGTTTACTTAATTTTTAAAATTATATTTTTTTATTTTAAACTATCTAAATTTTTTATTCTTTGGTTTAAAGTTAGGAAAAATACCAAAATTAATTCTTAAAATATTATTAATAAGCATTTCTTGTGTATTGTAAGATTTTTTAAAAATTTCTATAATTTTAAAATGTGGAGATTAAAATAGAGAAATGTAATTTGAGTTCGAGCTATAAAAATAAAATTTAAAAGGCAAAAGTATTATTCTTGAAAGAAACAAATGTGCCATTTTTTCAATAAAAATAGAAAATGTCATTATTTAAGTCTAAGAATGATAAAAAAAAACACTTTATTAAATAAGATATCTTTAATTTAATAAATAAGAGTGAATTGACTCCTTACATGATGTTCGTCAGAGAAAAATGAATGAAAAGAATGAAAGAGGAAAAAATGTTATTGCATTTTGCATGTTTGGTTAAGAAATTTGGAGAGAAAAAACTAGATTAATCATATAGAATTACCCTTAATTTAGTAAGTTAATGGTAGAGTGCTTTCTATCTTGATTGTGTGGATGTGGGATAAGGTTTTTTTTGCCTCAAGAAGCAGTGTTCAACAAAATAAGCAATATATTAAAGCCCGTTCTAAGTTTCATTGTGCACATTGCTGAGAATAGAATCACGTGATTCTAAGCAAACCAAGTATCTTAAATATATCCCCGAAGAATAAAAAAGGGTAATCTGAGTTGAGTTCCATCACCAACGGAGCATACTCCGGATCTTTACATAGTAAAAGGTTCTTCTATGTGGTTCACAAAACTAAACTAAACAAAACAAGGACTTTTGAAAACGGGTTCCTCGTAACTAAGATCAGTTTCCCAACTTTCGCATGGAAAAACAATCATAACTTCAATGACCACCTCACTCACAAATCACAACATAGTGTGTCATCTGTTCTCTTTTCTTGCTTCTTATGTCAACGTTTTACATCTTCATTAATTGTTAGTCATTATTAGATTTATTTAATTTTCGGAAACAAATATTCAAAAGCCTTATTACATTTGCATTGCATCATTTGTGTATTTACATAAGATGTGTAATTTAATGACATTTTGACAAAATTAAGCAGTGTCATTTAGTTTTAGTCATCAAATTTTTTTTTCATCCAGTTGATGAATATTCCATGAAACTTTTTCCTCCAAATTCTTTTCTTTCCCTTTTCTTGTTGAACATTCTTTTGCAATTTTAACTATTCAATTTCCTTATTCCGTATCTTGATGATCCATAAATTATGGTAAAATTTAGGCCAGGGATGATCATGCAACATGCAGCAAGCAGGGATTATAAACAAAAAAGGGCAAAACCTAACAATGAGGAAGATTTTGAAGATCTCATCAGCCAATTGCCAGATGGAATCCCGGTGGCCATTTTATCTAAATTGCCAATAAATGATGCTGCAAGGACCAGCATCCTCTCAAGAAAATGGAGAAATCTATGGACCTTTTTTTCTGGGACCTTAGAATTTGATGGTTCACCTATTATGAAAGACATGAAAAAAGACATTAAGAAGGTTTCAGGAAGGCATTTGCAGATGGCAATGCAGATCATGTATGATGCTGAAATTCAAATATATACAAGTTGGATCACTGAATTGTTGCGTTCCCTTAAGAGTTCGACTCTACAAGGATTGAAATTTTGGTTTCATGTGGGTAGTGGGTGTGATATTGATAAGTGGGTTCACTTCGCCATTCAAAAGAAGGTTCAAAAGCTTGAGCTGTATTTTGGGCATAGATTTGCATATGTTCTTCCATTGCACCTGTTTAAACTTGCAAGTTATAATTCCTTGTGTGTCTTGCGTCTGAAATTCATTACTGTGACCAAAGAGATGCTAGAGTATTTACTGTGTTGCTGTCCATTACTTGAAACATTGAGCTTGGTTAACTCAGGAGTTCCAAAAACTATGAACGTTTCAGGTCCATCACTCAAGCTGAAATGTCTAGAATTGGTAAGGTGTTGGGATCTGGTAAGCCTTGAAATTTTTGCTGAGAATTTAGCATCATTCAAATACTATGGATCCCATTTGAACACAGAATTTAAGAGTGTTCCAAGTCTTGTGGAAGCAACATTTGGAGGATCGTTTGTGGAATTCATCAGAGAAAGCTTTCTCCCACAAATAAAAGTGCTTAAACTGGATATTACACAAAACGTACCTGAAGTGGTAGTATCTTTTCCTACCTATCCTTTCTTTAGGCTGTTTTTCCTATTAAGAAGAGTGATAACCTTTTCACTGTCTTATTTTCAGATTTACTGGCTAAGTCAACTACCCAAGTTGAAACATCTCAAGCATTTGGAGTTGGTTGCTTGTGCTGATGATGGCATCACACATGGTGCTTGTGCACTGCTTTTAAAGGCATCACCTTCGCTATGGAGGTTCACAGTCAAGGTGAACATCCTTGTATCTTTGGCTTTGTTGGCTGTTCCTGTCAAAAATACAGATATCCTTGATGTGACTCTCTGTATTGTGCATGAAGCGTGTGTTGAAAAGCTAGGATAGTTGTGGTTCTGAATCAGCCTTATTTACGTGTTGCAGATGTTAAATACCAAACCCACTTTTAGAACAGAAGACAAATTTACAATGGAACGCCAATCCAATCTTAAAGAGTTGGAATTGGTTGGGTTTTGTGGAGCAGCATGTGAGGTTGAATTAATTATGCACATGCTTGAGAATGCAGTTGAACTCCAGAAGATAACTATTGATACAAGGTTACCAACTAAACCAAAATTGGGACCACTAGGGGAGCACTTCAAAACTTGGGATCATGAGGAAAACAGAAAGCGTGCTACGGAACTGAAGGAGAAAATACCACCTTGGATTAAGTTCGTTTGTCTTTGACTTAATATTAGAATCACAAGCATTATAACTTTTGGCATTGAAAACTAAACTTTTTTATATTAGCATAGAACTTCTCAACTTCAGCTCTTTTATACATTTCCAAAACTTAGAAGGCATGTCTATAAAACAAAATTCAGATATTCCTAGCCATTAAATTAAGTCACTAGTTTTTAGATCTTAAGAAAAAAAATACTACTTGACTATTCTAAATTATACCTCTTGACTTGGAACAACTTTTTAGCTATGATATGAATTGTTGTATTAAGGAGAACGTTATAGTTGGACAAAGAGAAGAGGATACCTTGAGTCGAGATTGTTAAGAAAATACCTTTCTTAATAGTTTTGTATGTTATTTTATGTCTATTATTGATAGATGAAGATTCGGAAATTTTCATCGCTAGTTACCTGAGTCTTATAATTAGCGATGCCATACTGCAACCATTGTTTTTCCACCTATAATAATAATAATAATAATATAAAATATTGGGGAAAAAAAAGAATAAATTTTTAAACTCTTAATTTCAACTCGGTGATAATAATAACTAAACATTATTCATCTTATTGGAGTTCAGATGATCCACTAACAATCCAAAGTACATACTCTAGCTTCAATCCATCTTATCTAAACATGCAAATGGAAAATGAAATCAAGTACAAGTTGAAATGAAATTAACACTTAGATACCCTGCTCAAGCATTGCTCTGACCCTCATTGGAAGACCATAAAGCCGGATAAAGCCAGCAGCATCAGCTTGATCATATATCTGCCCACTCTCAAATGATGAAATGTCTTGCCTGTACAAGCTAAAGGGACTCTTTCGACTGGTCACAATAACAGAACCTTTATACAGTTTCAAGGTCACAGAACCTGTTGTGGTTTCTGTGATCTTCTGCATAAAGGCATCCATGGACTCTCGGAGTGGATCAAACCATCTGCCAGCATACACTAACTCTGCATATTTAAGGGCCAATGAATCTTTGACTTGGATTGTTTCTCGATCAAGTGTCAGAAACTCCAACTCACGTGCTGCAGCAAACAGGATGGTTCCACCAGGTGTTTCATAAACTCCTCGGCTCTTCATACCAACAAGCCGATTCTCAACCATGTCAATACGGCCAATTCCATGCTTTCCACCCATCTCATTGAGTTCAGCAAGTAGAGATGCTGGCGAAAGCCTCCTCCCATTGACTGAAACAGGAAGCCCAGCCTCTATCCCAATTTCCACATATCTGCAAGACATAATGCATGCTTTCACAAATGTTAAGCACAAATCTTTGTAAGCATAACAAATTTAGCGGTTATATATATAAAATAGGTCTATTCATATTATAAAAAGATCAAAAAGTTATCTGTTTTTATTCTGGCACAGCAAAAAAAATTGTCTCTGAATATATACTCTGCCAGTGTTTCTATTTTCTAACAAATAACTATCAATCACAAAAAGCAAGCTCACTCTGCTTGATCTGGAGCATCCTCGGGGTCTACAGACATCATGTACATGTCCTTATTAGGCTCATTAGCTGGGTCTTCCAAAATATCACCCTTCAGTGTCACAGATTGCATATATCAGAAAACAGTAGCATATCACTTTAAAAAAAGATTTTGGAGCTACATTACTTAAAATATAACCTAGATCAAGATCAAGAGTATCAATTTTCTAACTTCTGATAATACTGCAGAGAAATTATGAGAATTAAATTACACAATTAATATGTTCTAGAGACTTTTAACAAATTATTGGATGCTTTGAAGCTTTAAATGATAACAGAAGGACCTAAATGCTGACACATTAAATTATAGACGGACTAAATTGATCATTAAAATCTTTTGTGGACTAAAGTGTTGATGCTTCTATTCTGGAAGACAAAAATGAGCATGATTGAGGGAGCACTTACATACAATAAGTTGAGTTTAATAGTGAGCCATGAATTATCAGATCAAATAAAAGAAATTCCAAGAGCCAACATAACTCACCAGTTATAAATATATTTGTTGTGTTTGGTCAACATGTTAGAATGGGGTGAATACTCTATGTTTGGTTCAATTAAAAATTTGAACAGAATTGGGCGATGAGATAAAATAATGATGCATTTTAGTGACACAAAAGGGTAGAACCAAGGAGAACAGAATAGAACATTCATTTTTTCTATCCACACCATATTTATCAATAGCGGCTGCTATCGCAGCAGAGCGGTGCAGTCCTGCTATGGCAACCCTGTAGTGTCACTGTTCAGTGTCGCAGCTGTTGCACCACGAATAGTGGCCGGAAATCACAGCTGTAGCGGCCACTATGCTGTCCTCCTTGAAAATTCAGAATTTACCCTTTGTTTTTTAACGTTGGCGGCTTTTAGGGGGGGGAGGGAATCTTGGGATTTTGCCTCCCCTTTATTTTCTGAATCTTCTCCCTCCCACTCGCAAATCCTAGCCTCTCAAATCACCTCTCAACTCTCCTCAGTTAAACATCTAAGCATTAGAGACTTAAATTTATTTAGTTCTTATATTTTGTTATTACTTGTTATTGACATTTGACACGTGTTATATTCTTAAACTTTTAATTTAAATCATTAGTATTGCATATGGTTTTAAGTTGGGTCTTAAATTTATATTTTTCAGCATAAATGTGTGTAACTTAATTTATATGGGTATATTTATAATGCCTTAAATAGCAATCATCCCGTTATCAGCTATCTCGCTATAGCATTTTTGGGGTCGGCCGCTCCGCACCACTATCCGAGATTAACTACTATGATCCACACAACAATCAAGTAAACTGCTTGCCTTCAGATCTTCTCATGTTACATGACTATCATGGTAGGAGAAAGTGCTTTGTTCTCTATTGCCCCTGCTAATGCCATGTAACATAAGATAATCCATATCCATTACTGTAAAAAGACCATCAAACTTTTGACCTTAAATTCAATAAATGCTTAGACCTCCAAAAAAATGACAAATCATTAGACATAGCAAACTTCAACAGTATAACTAGAGTGAGACAGAAGATAACCACAAAACATACCTCATGGCTAAGGTGCCAAAGATTCCTATCCCTGCTATATATGGATTTCTTAGTCACAGGAACAGGTACATTATGCTTTTTGGCATACTCAATAGCATCTTCCCTTCCAGTAATATCCCATTCCCTCCATGGAGCCACAACATTTAGCTTAGGGTTCAGAGCAAAGAAAGTGAGCTCAAATCGAACCTAAAAGTTTATATAGAAATGTGTTAGACTAGAATAAAATAAAATAATTGGTATGATTTAGTGTTGTGAGCCTAATAGCAAGACATGCCTGATCATTTCCTTTCCCTGTACATCCATGGGAGACAGCATCAGCTCCAACTTCTTTGGCAACATCAACCATGGCCTATGAGTCAGTGGGTGTCAATGAATATATGTTTATATAAGGGGAAAAAGAAATTATGTTCTGCAATTCTTGTGATTATGATTCTTCTTCAAATAAAAAGAGAGCAAACAGAACAAATGGTTATACCAGAAAGATGAACTATCAAACTTCAAGCATAAGTACCTTTGCAATTACAGGGCGGGCCATTGAGGTCCCAAGCAAATACTTCCTCTCATAAACTGCACCAGCACGTAGGCAAGGGAATATATAATCTCTGACAAATTCCTCCTTCAAGTCCTTTACCACTAATTGACAGGCCCCACTCGCTTTGGCTTTCGCTTCTAAACCTTCCAATTCTTGGATACCCTATGAAATATAGATTTTGTTACAACATCCAGCATATAAACATCAAATCAGGTAAATCAATTTCTCTAGTCAGAAATTTGCAATCTCAAAAACCTTTTCCAATAACACAATTTATAGAACAATCTTGATTACAAAATATGAATGCAAAATCTCACAACATACTTGCCCAACATCAGCAGTGAAGCAAACGACCTCGCAACCATAATTCTCTCTGCAACACCAAAATCATTAAATAAAATATTATATGAACACAATTTTACCACAGGTAAAATGACAGGGCTATCCACTACTCAATATTCCATTTCACACCCTAAATTCTTAAAAGAGAAAATACGAATCACCACTTTTCACTTCTATGCTTTACCACAAAACTACAACATTTTTGCATTTAAAACTCATCACATCATCTATACAATCACAAAACTGGTTTCCCATTGCTATTGAATCATTCTAATATAAATTTAAAAATTCTTTTATAAAGAGAAACCAGCAATTAAATAAAAATAAAAAATTTTATCTCCAAGTCCCTGATTATTTGTCATTCAGATGTCAGAAAATATAAGAACGGAGAGAAAAATCCAATATTGCAAACATGCAATGGAAGTCTAGTAGAAAAATGGGGAAAAAAGGGGCAACATTTATACCTCAGCCATGGAACAATGACTGATGTGTCTAAGCCACCACTGTAAGCCAGCACAACTTTATTCAATTTTCCACGTAGGCCACCACCCTCCATGGTTTTAGAAACTACCTCTGTATCACTGCGTACTGCTGCTTTAATAACTGTATGCCAAGAGAATTTTAATATCGTTACAGACACTACACTTACATATCAAATTAATACATCAAGCGGTGAACACACAGTGCCCCTACCTCAATGGACTCATGTGTTTTTAACTTAAACCATCCATACTCTAAGAAACCAGAAATTACCCCTCCGTGATGTATTTGTCCACCATTGCTGTTACGACATAAATTTGGTAGGCAATGATGATTTTCATAATACAAATTCCAACAGATGAAGAATACAATGCAAAACAAGGTCTTAACTAAAAGATTCAACTATAAATAACAATAAGAAATACTAAATCTTAAAGATCCAACATTGTTCAAAATGTGTTCAACCCATTGTGTCTAGTTTAGCTAAAAAAATCAACACTTATACTTAACCCGAGATGAAAAACTAACTTAGATAAGCTCTTTTATGTTGAGTTTATATATCAAGTTAACAAAGGTAATGGTATCCAAGTATAGTTTCCAATGGGTAACAACGGGGTTCTCACCTTGAATTTTACTGGCACCAAAACTTGTTCTTGGCCTCAACTAAATACAGTACAGAAATAGAGAATAAGACCAACAATGCAGCCACAAAAACACAAAAATCTCATAAAATAAGAAACGCTCAAAGCAACGAGTTTGTAAAGATTAAAGCTTTAGCTTTTAAAGATCACCTCTTTGAAAGATGATGGCTTTGGCTTCCAGAACCGATGAGACAGAAGGTTGGCTGAAAATTGAGATCAAGAAAAAATGAAAACAGAGAATTGGATTTTTTAATAATCTGTAGGAGAGTGACGAACAGAAAAAGGAAGAATTCACAAAGAACCTCTAGTATGTGGAGAAAGAATAGTAGCAGAGGATGAGCATGCAGGAGATGCTTTCAACTGAGACATTGGTACACAACAAAATACAAATACAAGTTCCACTTCAGTGAGTGAAACTGTGAAAGTATTTAAGCGCCGCCTGTCAAAAAGGGTTTCAAGGCACAGCTATTATAATTATTATAATAGTGTTTTCGCTCCATGTGTAAAATTTAATATTAATTTTTTATAAAATATATTACTCATAAAAAACATTCAAACTTTGAAAATTTTAAACGAATAAAATATTTTAAATATATTAATTTTAAAATTTTATTTAATACTAATAAAATTAATAAATTTTAATATTTAATAAAATATAAATATTAAATACAGTATTTTATTAAATTCTGATAATATATTTTAAAAAAATATTTTTACATTGATTATCTATTATATTTGTTTTATAATAATGACACAGTTATAAATATTATTTAACAAAAAAAATTTCAGAAAATTAGTAATTATCTGATATACAAAATTACTATTATTAATAAGGAAAATATTATTTTTTATAATAAAAAATTATATTAATGATGTAAATATAACAATTATTCTTAAAATAAACTATAATGTGTTTAATATTATAAATAAGATAAATTTAACATATAATGTAATAATAAAGAATTTTTCAACAATTTTTATATAAAACATACATTTATATAAAAAATAATTTGTCAGATAAATATATATATTATTTAATATTCAGTTTATATTATATAATAAATATTTTTAAATAAATTATATTTTTACTCATACATTACATAAGATAATATTATAAATAAATTAAAATTTAAAAATAAAATATAAATATTATTAAAAATAATAAAAATAAATTTACTTTATGTTTTAGATATTAATATAATTTGATATACAAATTTTTGTGTGAGAAAAAATTGTGTTTCATATATAAATATATTTTTAATACATTAAAAAATTATTTTTCATGTAAACACTACAATAATTAAATTATATTAATTAATTTAACGATGTAAAAAATAATAAATGATTTTTTATTATTAAAAGTATGATAAAATAAAAAATTTAGTAATTTATTTTATCAATAAATATTTCTATAATAAATTTTTTGAATAAATATTTATATTTGAGGTAAAATATATTTTTCATGATATAAATATTTATATCTTTACACATATATTATTTTATTGGAATAATATAAATATTTATATTAAATTTATCAATCTCTTATTTATATGAAAGAAATGTTTAAAAATAAATAATTATAAATTGAAAAATATACTAACATCATTCAAAATAATAATAAAATTTTTATTTGAAAAATAAAATATAATAACTTGGTAAATACATGTAGTAGATTTTTTTTTACAAACTCGAAGTTATTTGACAATATTAAAAAATTGATTTAAATCTTTTTTATATATTATATCAAAGTTATCAATGATATTTTTTTATGTAATTCAATTCAATTTTTAATTCTTATATTAAAAATTAAACTAAACTAAAAAAAACTACAAACATATTAAATAAATATTAGTTTTTATTTTATTATTATATAAACATTAGATATTATTGTAGAATATATTTATGTACGTTAAAGTAAGTTTATTTTAATTTTAATTAAGATAAGTTATAATTTGAAAATAGCTTTAATATATTTTTAATAATTTTTTATATTTATTAAATGTTTAGATTTTTTAATAATTAATAACCTAATTTAATAATATAAAAAATAGTAAATAATTTTTTTCCAATGAAAAAAAATGAACTAAACTTTCGTAGCTTACTTTATTAATAAACGGATGCTTCTTTAATATTGTTTGCGTTTCAACACCGCATAATCTGTTGATACACGACGGGACGTAAGATACGCAAGCCTTGTATTTTGTCGCTATATAACGAAAACAAACTATTTTGTGGGTGGATTCCTTAGTTATTTGTATTGGTTTATCCCATCTTAATATATCTATTTAATATAAGAAAGTTTGATTTAAAATAAATAAAAATAAGAAACTTTTAAAATATTTTATTTTTCAAAAAATTTAAAATACGCTGACTATTTCTAATATATAAATTGAATCAGAGTGATACAATATTTGATGAGAACAAAGTTGACTTATAATCTATTATAACAATTGCAAAAATAGTTTATTATTCACAGAAACAATCAAAAGTTATTATACTTACCAATTGATCTACGTTTTTGTTCATCAAACTTTGTTCGTCAAACTATAATTTTTCTATCGTTGAAAAATAGCATATTACAGTAATTAGACAATCAAAATAATAAATAGATCACAAAAATATTATATAAGTTGTTCATAAAAGTATGATTAAGTACACAAGTTATTCAATTTGCAATGATAATAATAAGAGTAAGATATTCAATTTTCAAGTCTGATTTTTAAAGATTCGCATAATGGATATATTTATTATTATGTAAGAAAATTAACTAAGCTCTAGAGATTCTAATTTTACTCCTCAACCCACAAGGTTGGCATAAATAACCCCGAACAGAAAAGAAAAAAATATTAGTGATACTGTGATAAGTTTAAGTTTTAAACAACTAATGGTTGAAATTTTGTTACTTTTTTGTTTTCTTCTTTTACTATTATAATTAGATTTGATATTCTAAAGTTTTTTTTTTCTGTCAAAACAAGTTGCACAAAGTTCAGGCTTTTATATACACACCTTAGCACGACTGTGCTCCTTAGTTGCATACCCGTATTAGCAAGTTGCTTCACCCTAACACGACTTATGTTCTTCTTAGCGTGTTGATTAATAGCGTGTCTTGTGCTAGTGTACAAGTCGCACCACCCAAATATGATTTGTGCTCGGAGTGCAAGTCACCTAAGCCTTGCACAACTTATATAAAAATGATCTCTGTTATCATACTGCTATACATTTGCAAGATATTGGGACTGGAGGTTTGTGCTGATACTATTGTTGGAAATGCAATGTTAAGAGGGAGCTCTTGTGGACAAAGGAAATGTGTTACAACCGTTTAAACAAATATGTGCTGAAGGATCATGTTTAATCAAATCAATTAATTGATAATATTTTAGAAGTCTTTAATAATTATTCACATTCTCAAAGGATCAATAGTCGCATCTCACTCCTGCAGCCAGCTCTAAAGACTTACAATTTTTTTCATAAAATTATTCTGCTCTCTAATAGTCATATTGTGAACCAGGGTCCACACGAACACATGCTAGAATTTTTTGATAAAAATGTTTTTCAATGTTCTGAGAGGAAAGGTGTGGCAAACTTTTTGCAAGAAGTATCTGTCCTAGAGTTTTCTCACAAAAGTTTATTTAGTTTGCCTTGCTAAAAGGTGGTTTTATGCGTTTAATTTTGGCCATTTAAATTGTTTTTATAGGTAACATCAATGAAAATCAAATGCAATACTGGGGACATAAAGATCAGCCTTATAAATTTGTCACAGCTAAAGTGTTTGCAGAGTAACATCAATCATTTCATGCCTTCTATATTACTATGTACCTTCGTTCTCTCTCCACTGTTTTCTCTATTTCTTTGTTCTGTCTTCTAATAGTATACTCTACTGAACTATGCCGGTGAGAGAATCAAGAATCAAGCCTCTCGAAATGTTCTTTTTCGTTTTCATTTATCTCAAAATTTATTCCATGTTTATGTATAATACACACACCTTGGCAGCAAGTTTAGAGTATTCAACTGATCATCGTAGACTTTACCTTAGTAACTATTACTGAATACGTGTGTATATAATATTCTGGACATGATATATGAATATATGATATTTTATCAAAAAGATAACTAGATCATGCAAAGAATGTAACAGATACTCAGCTTTTATTCTCTCCTGTATTATGTACAACACAATCTTTAGTATAATAGCCACTCTGCAATCTGCTATAGTGTTGGTGTAATTTCCAGTCTAAGCCATTATCTAGGGTCAATTACTGTGCTCTCAAATAACCATAACAAAGTATATCTTAGTGATCGAATAAAAATCATCACACACAAAGTCTAAGCTAATCCTGTTCAAAACGTTGAACTGATTTTACTATTAATTATAGATTATAGATACGAAATGGGCAACTATTAATTAGTTCATCTTCTTGCAACTGAAAGCAGATCTTATTAAAAACGTTGGACTAATTTTACTAAGTTGTGGTGCTAAGTTGAGATATCTGTGAACCATGGTCCATATTATGCTACAAGAGATTGTAAACTATATATTATTAAATCACTAATTAATTATGGATATAAATAATATGCATGCTGCCATATATACTGCATGATAATTTAGTCTTCGAATTCACAATAAACTAAACGAAATTTAAGTTAGAATAAAAAATAAATTCTCTAAGATGAAAGAAATGTTACACCTCTGATAAGCAAAGATGGAGTTTAATCATATCCTTTATATAGGTCATTGTCAAGACATTCAGCATTTTTAATTTATTTAACGATTATTTATTTTTTGTTCATGATTCTTCATTTAACACCAACTGGTATTATTACAGTAAAATATTTTTATTTCATGATATATTCAATAAATTAGAAGGGTCAAATTCCTTACTCCTCAGCTCTAAGTGTTTTTTTTTTTTTTTTTCCATTCATATATTGTGATTTGACTTTATTATAATTATTTTAACCAGTTTTATACCAATTTATAGTACTTTTTTGTCATCATTTTGAAAAGAAGAAGGGAACCCTAAATATACCAAACTAAGTCAACATTTAATAGAGATGAAGGATGCTCTAGAATGAGAAGAGACAACTCATTTAATTGCCCTGTTTGAGACAAAGATGCGAAAAGAGAATATGAGAAAAACTTTCGATATGAGAAAGAGTATGTATGTACTTGATGTAAGTTTGTTTGACATACATGTTTGTGTCTGAAAAAACAAAACTTAAATAAAAATGCTGGCTCTTGTATGAAATTATATTTGTAGTTAGTCTCTAATTTTATTAATATTTTTATCATCACAACATTAAAATATAATTTTTTTTGCTTATTTTTAAGAAATTAGGTATTACCAAGGCTCTAAAAAATGTAATTAAAACATGCAAAAATTATATTTATAAATGATCAATTTATTTAATTTATTTATAAATTAATCTAAGTGCATAATTCGAAATTTCATTGCGTGGATATTTTTAGGAAGAGAAGGGAGAAGCAATGAGAAATTAACTCTCCTTTGCTAGTTGCTTAATTAAAAGAGAAAAATTTTAGGAGTTTTTTAAACTCTCATAAGCCTTCTAATGTTAGTTTGTTGAGTTCCTCAATCTGAGAGCTTTTCAAGAATTTTCTCTCTCTTATTCTTTCATACTTAGAATTATAATTTTTTTAAATATTAATTTTTCAAGTGAAATTTTTAAAAAAATTTATAAAAAATAAATTTTTTTAAAATTATTAATTTTTTGAGAAAAATATATTTACTTTTTATTTTTTTATAAATATATATATATATAAATAATATAAAATATAATAATATCATTTATATAATTAAACACTTCATTTCCTTCACCTCTCAATATTAAACATTCTAACAAAAGAAAGTTTTAAACTCCCTTCTCCTTTCTTCTTTCCCCCTTTAAATCCTTCTTTTTTCTCACCCTCCAAACTCTCAAACAAAGCTTTACTATTTTATCTAAAATCCGAAAATCATTTTTAAAAAATTGTTATATATATTGTTTTATGTTATTCCCTAATACCAACTCAACACGAAGCTAGTCCAGAACCGTTGGTATTTCATATAGAAACAAAGTTAGATACATGCAGAAGCTGAACAAAGATCCCTGAAATACCTCTTGAAACAAAAATAAACTGAACAAAAGGTTTAGTTATTTTAGAAAACTACAAACTTAAGACCCTTGTTTTAAAAAGGATTAAGTTAAGGTTTCTGATTTTCCTCTTCCAGTTCAAGACTCTGAATTTTGAGCTTTTTCCTACTAGTTTTTCGAAAATTGATGTTGTTTGGACAGAACAATCTGCGCTGTATCAGTTCCAACAATTGTGACTGCAACTGTTTGTTTATCACCATGACGTGCTTTGCCATGTTTGTTGCCCATACACGGTTCTGTATTTCTGTGTCCACTTTCATTTGTATGGTCATGGCCACAGGCATATCTGCTTTCTGCCCAAAAGAAAGAACAATGAAAAACTACGTCTTTGCAGCGGCTGAAATCATGCATATAGAGCTAAACATGTTACAACAATTTCCAATAATCTCCTGTTTGAGTTGCCTATATCTCAAACTATATAGTCACAAATATTATGTTTTTCTTTCGGTCTATTATTCTTAATATTTTGTCGGGATTGGTGGGGCAGGGAAGGGAGGATTATAAGAGATCAAGTAATGTTGACTAAATGACTGGTTAATCAAGTGTAAGCTGCAAAAGCACAATTCTCTATGCATTTTACGTTATGATTTATTCATCATATAAAATAATTATACTATATGTGTTAGTAAATGGAGGCTACTCAGGGAAAAGGAAAAAAACCTGTGAACCAGAAATCTTCTGTCTCGAAAAACCAGTACTTCTCAAATCAATGCAAGTTTGGTTTTCTTTGTAGAGTCGACGTAAGGAAAGGAGAGTGGTAGTTCCCTTGGATAAGTTGATCAGCTGAGGATACTTGTTAAGTGGAGAAATAGGATATTGATTGGAGACTCTCCGTTGGTTTGATGTAGAGAGTACTGAGGATCGCGGAACTACCACAAGATTAGTTACTTTCCCTGCTATTAATAATACCATCAATTTTGCCTTACGTATGCCTTTGTAACTTTGTTATGAAACATAGATCATCATTATTATTAAGGGCTTTTACATACTGGCATTTGTGTTGAAGCATATTGGATGATTTTCAAAATTCCATTTTCCCACGATATAGTTTATACATGCCCAAGTGACTGCCAACTTCTGTTTTAAAAGAGGTAAGAACAATAACATAAATGGATAGGTTATATTACCTTTTTGAAGGCTGAACCTTCGAATGATTTCCCAGCTGATGATATCCCATACGCAGACTGTGCAGTCTTCAGAGGCAGAAATTAGGCCTACCTGAGTGGAGGTCAAGGCAGTAATGGCTCCACTGTATATTTGACAAAAATTTAAGCTGATTATATTCAACCTCATTATATGATAACTCCTATTTAGGTTGGAAGCTATTATCAAAATTTTAGCACTCAAAGGAATTTGCTTTTTGTGTTAAATGGGTTGGTTCTAAAGCTAGGCATTTGAAACATTAAAACACCTACATCCAATTTTGTCTGAACAAAAGTAGCTTTGATATCTTGAAATTTACATGTTTCACAAATAATTATGCAATAATAACTCACAAATAATGAGAAGTTAAAAAAATGAGTGCTTTTTGTTTTCACTTTATAGGCAGCTCCTAACCATATATTTTGTCATGGAAGTATATTCTCAATAAATATTGGAAAATGAAAAGCTTCAAGCACTGTATATTACTTGTGTCCTTTCAATTCAAGTGGTTGGCCTACTGTGACAACGGAAGGACCTCCTTCCAGACCAACATCAAGCTTGTTGACAATTATTGTTCCATTTTCTGTTCCGTAAAACAAGAGCCTTTCCCTATGGTGAAGGGCAATGGAAGTTATTGCCAAAGGATAAATTTGAGTTTGCTCAAGTCTTCCTGAGATAAAATCCCAAACCTATGATAAATGGAAAATCCTATCTTAATATAAAGCAATCTCATGTTTGTAGAAGAATCTTAATGCACAGATTCATCACCTTGCATGTGCCATCAAGGGAGCTCGATACCAATATTGAGAAGTAACTACTGGGTGTAGTTAAAAGACCTGTTATGGAGGACTTGTGCCCTGGCAAACAATGTAATGGAGAAGGCAAGCTTCCTGTTTTTTCTACATCTAACAGACTTCCATCAAAATGAATAAAATACATGCATCAGCATTAAAGTAAAGGCGTTTAATATCGCTCTATTACGTATATTTGTTGAGGCCAAAGTCCAGGGAAAGCAAATTCAGTCTTTACCTAATCATTGACCAAACACAGATCATACCATCATCTGAACCAGAAATAAGAAAAGAATTGTCATTTGAAAATAGCATGCAATTTAAAGATCTATTATGAGCACTCCAAGTCTTCAACAATTCTCCACTGGTCACCTACAATTAACCATAAACATATCATAATTTTACCAAAACAAATATTCATCTAAATCTCACACGCAAGCTTAGACCAAGGACTTATTATCACCAAAAGTTAGAAAAATTAAATCAATTTAAGCCAGAATTTATACATAGGCAATATGCATATGATGATGTGAACTAAAAGTACTAATTGGGGAAATGGACTTTTAAGGTGTGCATGCATACATCCCAGAGATAAGCATTTCCAGACAAAGCTCCTCCCACAAGGTATATGCCATCTTCTGTGCAAGAAAGTGGCCCAATAGCTTCCACTGTGTAATTCAAAAGTGGCTGTTGAGGCTGAAAGCAATAATATACAAGTAAAAATGAAATTTTTGCATAAAAATCATCTATAATTATTTAAAAGACAGGATAGAAAGATACTTCCATCAAAGTTATAGAATTGCCACGGCAATTACGACAAGAACGTAGTACCACTGTTGTTTGTAAATAGTTCTCTTATTCTACATGGAAATATTTGCCAGTAAACCATATTCATTTATCCCTCGATACATCTAATCATTATATAACATTAAGACCATAAAATTCTAAACATTTACCTAGGGGTGAAAATAAACTTAGTCCAACTAAGATTTGTGAGGCCAATGTATGACCTAACTCTTAAACTTAGTCCAACCCTGTAGTCTATTTATTTGATATGAGCCATATTTTAAGGTCTAGTTTGACCTAAAAGCCTATTAAAAAACTTACTTTGTAATAAAATAATTTAAATATGTCAAAAAAAACTTACTTTTAAATAGGCTAATAAACCTACACTTATATGTAAATTAGCAAACTAAAGCATTTCATAAAATAAATATATAATCTTAAAATGTTACATTAATCATAATAATATATTATTATTTTAACAAGTCAAAAAAATTGGGCTTTTCAATCATTCTCTTTAGTAAATGTTTACGTAAAAGTCAAGATTGAAATGTCTACATTAATTTCTAAAGAGCATGTGTGTAGTTTCAAAATTTTCAATCTTACTTACATGGTGTCTAAAAATGAATTTCAAATGATCAATGGTAGATAATGATAGTTTTGGATTTCACAAAAGACAAAACTTATGTGTTGTTTTTATGTGTTATTTACCAATTAAAATTAGAGATTTATTATAATAAAATTGTAGTATTTAATACTATTGTAAAGTATGACGTAAAACTCCAATCTTAATTGGAAAATAGTACTAAAAGCAGTTATTGTACAGTACCTAAGTATTGTCCTTTCACATTAACATTTATTTTTTTTAATAATAAGATAATTTTGATAATGAAGAAAAAACTTGTTATTTTCGTGAAGTGTCTTAAAAGTACAAACGAGTTTTAAAAATTTAATAATACAAAAAATACGATACACTTCAAAAAAATTAATCCTATATTAATTAGAGTTGACTATGTAAGTACCTACTAAGGAGCATTTATGGTGTGTTGATTTGCTATTTAATGTTTTGAAATTCAAATTAATCCTTAAATTATAATGTAAAAGATTCAAAATTGTGAAGTCCAAACAAATTTAAGTCAGGATTAAGTACGCAAGTTTTTTTTTTCAAAATTAAATAACCACTATTTATAATAACAAAATTAGTATTTTTGTTCATTAATTTTAAGATAAATTTTGAGTTTGTCCTCTTCCTCTTCTTTCTTCCTTTCATTTTCATTTTTTTATACTCAAAATTTTATCTTCTTAATATCATTACCGTCTTTCCACTCTCCAATCTCAAATCATAAATAATCTATCTGAGTATAAGAATATGAAAATAAACTAGAAAAATAAAAAGTCCTAGAGATAAAGTCTGTCTCACAAATAACATAATTAAATGACAAAAAAAAATTTTAATAAGGTTAGAATTTTTTTTAAAAAAATTATTTGAAACTTTTGTAAAAGTTAATGAACTAAAAAAAAATTAGATGACAGAATTAAAATTTGCATTTACGAGCTAAATTAGAGTTGAAAACTTCATCACAATGACATAAGAGACTTGGAGCATATTTGGCCCAACTTAAATTTAGAGAATAATCACTTGTTTTTTAAAAGTTCTCTTAAAATGTTGGAAGAAATAAGCAATTATTTTTTCAAAAGAAGTTAAACCAAATTAATCCAAGTTTTATCCTACGTTTTTAATCTGCTATCTCTACAGCTATTAGAGCATTGCATCAAGCCTACAAGGGTAATGTTTGGTACACATGTTAGAATGAGACAAAATAAAACATGTGGTTCTGTTATGGGTTTGGTGCGTTTTGAAAGTAAAGAGTGGGATATGGAGTTATGTAGTGGCACGTTTTTGTTTCTTTATAATGTTGGATTGAAGGAGAACAAAATAAAGTAGTGGTTTTTACTGTGTGTCATGCTAGTGTCTACAAGTCAAATACTTATTTTTCTGTGCATAAAATCGATGAAGTTTTAAGTGCTGCCAATGCCTGGTGGCAAACTTTTTTTTTTTTTTTTAAACATGTTAATCTCCAATTAAGATGATGCGCAATTCTAAGAAGTATGGAAAGAAATGAGACGCAAACACCTAATGTCATTAGATGCTTTCAGCTTCATTCGAAATTCCAACAACACTCCTCTGCTGAATGACATAAATTTAAGAAATTGTGTTTCAACAAATCCATAATTTGGACACTGATTGACTATTAGATAAGTGATATATGTTCTTGAATAAAGCTTCTAAGTACGAGGTTTATTTATGAAAAATCCCTGTTTAAATCAAACATGCTGTGAATATTTTTAGCTCCTGAAAAAATCCATTATCTAATTTGTTAAATCATTATCTTATATATTTTCACTATTCTATCAAAATCCAAATAGTTGATTTTTGTACAAAATTGTCAATAACAATGTGTTTAATCACTAAAATGCAAGAAATTCCCCAATCCAATCCACCACTGTAAACCTTAAAATGGTAAGTGCATGGTTTTCAGAACTTCGGATGAATAAAGAAAGCAATTACGGTTACCAATTCGTATAGCACGGGGCGTGAGGTACACGTGAACAAGAAAGGAAAAAAACCAGAATATATTTTTTAAAATAAAAAAGAAAGTCTGGGGATGGGACTTTAAGGTCTGATAGAAGCACGTTACCTTGTTCAAGGCCCACACAACAATGGCTCCGTCGCCAACAGAGCCGTGTTTGTTTATTTGCGAAGCGACGAGAAAGCGATTTCTCAAGCACAAGAAGCCGAAAGGTGGCGAGGCACAGGTTGGAATGTGAAGAAGGTTTTGTCCAGTGGCTAAGTCCCACACCTTGACCCCAATTTTCATGCTCTTGTCACTGCACGCCACCAGAGCCTCTCCTTCTCCCACCATCTCTACTCTAACTATGGAGATGAATGTGTATGTGAATGTGATGAAGCGAATGAAAGAGGTAGCGTGTATTTAATTGTGAAGATTGAATTGAATGATGCATGTTGGGCAAATGAAAACGACAAAGGTGGTTGAGAAAGTGATGATGGCATTTTATGGGAGTTTTGGTACGGAAGGTTCCGCTGCTGAAGGTGCAGGTGCAGGTGCAGATCATGTGTTGCACACTCTTGAAGACACGTTGCTTGGTGCAGTCTCTATGGAATGCACACTCAACTGAGTTGGAACCTTTGAGGAGTGGATGTTTCGTGCTTGGGATACGGTGCGTACGGCCTCGGTATATGCTTCCGTTCTTTTCTTAATAAAATTATATTCTAAAATTAAATATATTTTCACTTAATACGACCAAATGTATAGCAAGATTAGTTTCAATTTTCTAAAATTTCTTACTAAAATTTCCGTTATTTATTGTATTAAAAAGTATTACATGTTTTATAAATTGAGATAGTAATAAAAGTATTATTAAAAATATTATAAAAATACTATTGTTATGTAAGAAAGGGACAAATTCTATTAAATATGTAGACTTACTTTCAATCTTTTATCATTAATTTTATTTTCATATAACATATCAAGATTATTATAACAGTGAAGAGAAAAAGCAATGCATTCTTACATTAATGACAAAAAATATATAATATTAATGAGGAGATATAATTTAACTATTGATTTTAATAAATAAAAAAGTTGTCTGTGTGTATTTTAAATTCCTGACGTATAAATTATAATTTTGTTACTTGGCAGCTAATATAATTTTTAGATTATCGAGATGAATACTTGTGATTTATAGGTTTTACAAAATATTATAATGCTCCGTTTTTACTAATATTTTAATAATATAATTTGATTAAAAAGTATGTTTTAAAACAATTAATAAATATACATCACAATAAATGATTTAATAATGTAAATTTTAAAATTAATAGCTAGAGTTCATAAATTAAAATTTTATTTATTTTATATTCATTAAAATTACACTTTTTGTATACTTTAAATTATATTTTATAAAATTGTCAAGTTTAATAATGATATCAAATATTAAAAGTTATAGACTTAATTCTTTAAAATAATTAAAGTCAAAGAAATGAATAATTTAATAATATATCTTTTTAAAACTAATAAGTAGTGCTCATAATTAATTCCGTTTCTTAGCTAAGATTGTATTCACTAAAATTCTATTTTATTATTCTTTATATATATTTTTTATTGACTTTCTAAATTAATAATTACATGAAGCATTAAAAATCAGTTTTTATTAATTTTTTCAATTAATTATTAAAAAATTTCACTATTAGGAATTTCCTTTTAAATCTTTTAATTAATATAAAAACATCTTAGGCTTTCTCTTTCTTTAAAATATCGCAAGTGAATCACTATTTTAATTTCAAAAGATTAAGAGTCTCTAAGAGAAAGAAAGAAACTACTTTTATTTAGTAAAACTCATATAATGTGTTTGAAATATCAAATAAAATAAAATGTGAGAAATATAATAAAAATGTTATTTAGATGAGTAAAAATAAAATAAAAATATATATTTACTTGTTTTGATAAATAAAAAAAGAGTATAAATAAAAAGTTATATGCAAAATATTTTTATAATAATAAAAAATTATTTTAGTAACAAAATTTCAAAACTTTTAATATGACATTTTCTTTGGTATTTAAAATTTTTTTGTATTTTTATATTGCTTTTAAAAATATTTAACACTAAACAACAAAACCTATGCCCCTAATTATTGTTCCTTTCACGACAAAGATGAGAAAAATTTTATGGTCCCACTCCTCTTTTTTTTTAAACTCATAAAATGATGAAATATTTGAACTTTAAGAATTTACAATATATTAATTTTTACGTAAAATCACTCATTTCAATTTTTCTCTTTACAAAATGAACTCATTAATATTTAAGAAAAAATATAATATATTAATTATTTTATTTTCCATGTTAATTAGAGTTAATATTAATAAATAATTAAATTCATTCTTAAAATTATGAGTAATTCATGGAGAGAAATTTAACTTATAAATTTTATTTAAGAGTTAATTTTTGAGATAAAAAGAGAAGAAGAACTTTTAAATCAAAATTTTTATTTAGAAGTTTTTAAATGAGAGAGGACAATGTTATAAATCCTATAAAATATTATGCTTTTCTTTTTTCTCAATTTGAAGAGCTTTTTTATAAGTTATATTCAACCAAAGTAGCCCTTAGGTTACTATCAACTTTAACAAAATGACAGGAGGCGTTAATGGAAGGCTCTGTCATTGACAACATCAAAAGAAACAATTGTAAAGAGTGGAAAGTGGAGTGTAAATATGATTTAGGAGAAATTATAAAGGGAAAGTGGTATCAGTAAAATTTTCATTTATTCTCGTAAAAGCTAAGAGATCTTCAACTTGGTTCGTAAAAAAAATATATTAAAATTAAGTTTTAAATATATAATTAGTCATTCATCTCTCATCGAAAATTTATTAGTTAACTCACATAAAGACAACATGACATGTTAAATACAATATGATTGGAAAAAAAAAATACTAACATGTCCAAAGTTCTCATATACGTGAGCGTTAATCAATGAATTTATTGTATACGTACAAACTTTAATTGGTTTTGTAATTTTAATAAAAAAAAGTATTTTTTTTTAAAAGGATAATTATTTTATCTAAATTTTTTAAAACATTTATACGTAATTTATGTAAATAATTTGAGGAAATGTTTTTTTAGGTTTTTTCTAGCCCTCTTCATAGTTTTTAATATATATATATATATATATATATATATATATATATTGTAAAATTACGTCTATTTTATTCTAAAAAAATTATATTAAAAATGCATTTTTTCATTATTATTAAAAATATCTTTTCTTAAATACTTTTTAAAATTTTATATAACATGACCTCTTATAACGAACATGGAGCGTTAACTATACAGCTGTGATTAACATAATAAATATAATCTTTGACTTAGTCTGAAAATTGAGTATGATCACTCTAGACTCTTTTTTTTATAAGCAAAACATATATTATTAGAGAAAGTTTAAGGGAAATTCAAAACTCATATACACAGAAAAAATTACTAATTTAGAGAAATAAAAAGTAAAAATATACTTATACAAAGTTAAGACGGATGCAATTTCATAGGTTCAAATACCAATCAGCTAACAAAATAGCTTCTCCCTTACTAACAAGTGATAGTCATTTTCAGGACCTCAGAATAATAAAATCTAGAACTTCCCTCTTATCCAAAACACCATTGGAAAAATACAATTTTATTTCTATGTAACCACAAAGATCACATTGTACTTACCCAAATAATTAATAAGCATATCTCTTCTCTTTTACTACAGCCAACACTAATCCAAGAAAGCAAGTGAGTCGATATATCTGAAGGCTAAACCAGTGAGAATCCAAGCCAACGCGCAGTAAAGTACTAGATTTGAGATGAAACTAAACACGTTAAAAATAAATGAGTTGGAAGTTCCTCCAAACTATGACAGAAGCAACAAGTTATATCATCAATTTAAACACCTCGATCAATCAGCAAACCCTTACAAGGAAGTGCATTCAGCAACAATTGCCAAGAAAATACCAAACACTTAAGAGGGACCTTTCCTCTCCATAGCCTTTGCAAGGCATCTGCCATACACTGATCTACACTATTAGGACCACCAAAAAGTTCAAATAGCCATGAATACGCAGATTGTACTAAATAACAACCTGAAGAATCTGCCCTCCATACCCATTTATCTTCTTGTAGTAACTTAATAGAAACTTCATCCCCAAACTCTAACAAAAGATTAAAGCTTAAGATCTCATGTTGAAAGAGTCATCTTCGCCAACTAACATCCGAAACCCACCTAGTGTCATCATGAAAACCATTTTCCAATACACATGATTCAGCATTCCTCGCCACCACAAACAATCGCGGAAACGCTTCAGACAATCGCACCCCACCTACCCACTTATCTCTCCAAAAAAGAGTGTGTAAACCTGCACCCACACTCCTATCAAACTTCTCATCCAGCCAAGAATTCCTTTGATGAATAATCTCCATCAAATCACGCCACCACAAAGAATATCTGTTGTGGACTGATGGATGCTGAATAGAAGAAGCTAATCTTCCATATCTAGATTCCAACACTCGCACCTACAATGAACTAGAACAATTAACACCTCGCCACAACCATTGACCAAGAAGCACCCAGTTAAACCACTGCACATTTTTAATGCCCAAGCCACCATTCTTCCGCGGTCTACATACCGTTTTCCATTTCACCCAGGGGATTTTAGATCCATCCTTAACACTCTTCCATAAAAAATTTCGTTGGATAGTGACAATCTCCTTTATCACCGACTTCGGCACCTTAAAAAAGGATAACGAATGCAATGGCATAGAATTAAGAACTGCATTAATCAAAGTCACCCTGCCTCCAATCGATAAATACCTATGCTTCCATGATGCTAACCTCTTTTTAAGGACATCTAACACATTCTTCCATGCACTAGGCTTTCTCGGGTTAACACCTAACTGTAACCTGAGATACTTTAATGAGAAACTACAAATCTTACAATGGAGGAACTCTGCAGCCATGTTTTCAAAATCATCACTAGTATTAATCCCCAATACACAACTTTTATGAAAGTTAATTTTCATACCTGACATTAATTCAAAGTTACGCAATACTGCTTTCAAAGTCCACAAGTTCTGAACCGAAACCTCTCCCATACTCAATGTGGCATATGCAAACTGCAGCAAAGAAATATCTGGTCCCTCTATCCTAATCTTCACACCAAAGAACAACCCACAAGCCACTGCCTTTCGCATAAGAACTCCTAATCCTTCCGCTGCCACAAGAAAAAGAAAAGGGGCAAGAGGATCCCCCTGTTTTAGGCCCCGCTCAATATGAACCTCCAATGTAGGACAACCATTAATCAAAGCTGATAGG